CACCGTGTGGGTCTCAGAGATCAAACTCAGGTCACCTTGCTCTGCAGCAAATGCCTTTGCTCAGTGAGCCATCTCATGGCTACTTGTGAATCTTTTATTGTCTCTAGGGACTGGCTAGCCTTGGCAGTTAAGAGGGATAGTCCCACCAGGATCTGTATCAAAGATTTTGATAACAAAGTATTAAGCGCATCGGAAAAAAAAAAAAAAAAAAAAAAAACAGAATAAGCCGGGTGGTGGTGGTGGCAAGCACTTTAATCCCAGCACTCAGGAAGCAGAGGCAGATGGATCTCTGTAAGTTTGAGGCCAGCCTGGTCTGCTGAGCAAGTTCTAGGACAGCTGGGCCACCGAAAGAAACCTTGTCTCAACAAACAAGCAAAAAATAGAATAAAAGTGCAATTCACATAACTATTTAAGGCAGAACTCCTGGCTCATGATTTTCTTTCATGGCTATATACGTTACAGAGAGAGTCAGTTTGGACCCATCCACAATAAGACACAAACACACACTTGGGGCTGGAGAGCTAGCTCAGAGGTTAAGAGCAATGCTCTTGTCAGGGTCAGGGTTCAGTTCTCAGTACTCATGTGGTGACTCACAGCCTTCTATAACTCCAGGTCCAGAGGATCTGATAGCCTCTTCTGGCCTCCACAGGTACTAGGCATGAACTTGGTATGTAGGTACACATGCAGGTAAAACACTAGTATGCATATTTTAAAATGTATTTTTTAAAATGCAAACACTTCACATTGCTTTCTAAATCATACAAAGAGCATTTAAGTGTGCTACAGTACTTTTAACATCGCTGATAGTTTTTGTTTTGGGGGTTGTTTATGACAGTGTCTCACTATGCAGTCTTGGCTGGCCTTGAAGTTGCTATTGACCAGGCTGATCTTGAACTCAAAGATCTACTTGCCTCTGGCTTCTAAGTGCTGGCATTAAAGGAACACTCTACCACAGTCTACCCGTGCTAATAATTTGTTTTATTGTTATTTGCAGTGTTGCTGTACTAGGAAAACTGAGGTCTCCTTTTGGGTTCATAGACTCATTAGTAAAAGGATTATTTTTGGTTTTTTGAGACAGGGTTTCTCTGTAGCTTTGGAGCTTGTCCTGGAACTAGCTCTTGTAGACCAGGCTGGCCTCGAACTCACAAAAATCCACCTGCCTCTGCCTCCCGAGTGCTGGGATTAAAGGCATGTGCCACCACCGCCCTGCTAGTAAAAGGATTTTAAAATGGACTTGGAAGGCAACTCGAAGACAATTTGTTTTGAGGAAAATAGGGGCTGAAGAGATGGCTCAGTGGTTTAGACTGTACTGCTTTTAGAGAGGATCTAAGTTCTGTTCCCAGACACAACGCCCTGTAACTCCAGCTCTGGGACAGTGCTCTCTTCTAGCCTCCTTAGGTATTCACATACGGGTGTACACACACACACACACACACACACACACACACACACACACAAGATAATCATCAGATCTTTAGAGTCTGAGGGAAAAAACAGAGCAGATGAACCATAAACCTTGGTAGCTGACCCAAGGAGGAGGATGGAGGACAGGGAGAGAATGGAGTGGCGGTCAGCAAGCCATTGCGTGATGGAGGAGGTAGAGGACTCAGAGAAAAACTGAAAAGGCCCAGAGCAACATGCTTGGACTTTTGGCTGTTATCCCAAGGAAAAGGAACAACAAAAAAACTGGTTAACTTTTCTGAGGACTCAGAATTCTGTCAGCGGAAGCACTGAGGGAGGGTTCCTTGTAGGGATGAGCACATTGTCTCTTTAAGGAGACAATTAGCCTTTCTTCTGTAGCTTGAGTTCTGGTCAGGTGAGTGGCAGGCAGAGCTGAATTAACTCTTCAAAGAAGGTAATAGTTTGTGATGTTTTGGGTGGCTTAGAATGTCAGGTCTCCTCTCAGGGTCAGAGGAAGAACTTAGATTCTATTCTGTTTTGAACAGGAGGAAGTATCTTTATCTTAATAGGGCTTTGATTTAAAAATTAAGATGGGGTTTCCCTTTCTGGTGTTACCAGGAAATAGGAGGTAGAATCCATCCTCAGTGACCTCCAAGGCCTCGTAACAGGTTAGGCATCAAAGCCAGGGCCTTGGACAGGCCAGGTAAGCACACTCTGCTGTCAAGCTACAACCCTAGCCTTTGGCTTTAGGCTTTTATTGTTTGTTTAGTTTGTTTTACTATTTTTAACTGGTGGAGGGGAAGGTTGCCTGCAAGGGCACCTGTGTTGGCAGGTGAAGAGGACGACTTGCCCTGAGTTTGGTGGTACACATCTTTAATTCCAACATTTGGAAAGCAGAGGGTGGCACATATCTGTGAGTTCCAGGCCAGCCTGGTCTACAAAGTGAGTTCTAGGGCAGGTAGGCCTGTTACACAGAGAAACCCTGTCTCGAGGGGAGAGGACGATTGGCGGGAGTCAGCTCTCTCCTGCTACTGAGTCCAGGGGACTGAGGAGACCGGATTCAGGTCATCGGGCTTAGTAGCAAAGGGTCTTTATCCACTGAGTCCTCTCACAAGCTTTTGTTTGTGTACTTTATGTATATATGTGTGCATGCACATGTGTACAGGTATATGGTGGTGCGCAGGGAAGCCAGAAAAGTGTTTCAGATCTCTTGAAATGAGTTACAGGTGGTTGTGAGCTGCCATGTGGGTGCTGGGAACTGAACCTGGCTCTTCTGCGAGAACAGTGAGCATTCTTTTTTTTTTTTTTTTTTTTGGTTTTTCGAGACAGGGTTTCTCTGTGGCTTTGGAGCCTGTCCTGGCACTAGCTCTGTAGACCAGGCTGGTCTCGAACTCACAGAGATCCGCCTGCCTCTGCCTCCCGAGTGCTGGGATTAAAGGCGTGCGCCACCATCGCCCGGCTGACAGTGAGCATTCTTAATCACTAGCCATCTCTCCAAGCCCTTTGCCTTTTTGCTTTTGAGACAGGCTAGCCTTAAACTTGTGATCATCCTGTCTCATCCTCCCCAGTGCTTGGATTATAGGTGTATGTGCCCAAGGCCCACCATAAACAATACTTATTAATATTCTTTGGAACTGACCATTTCTAGATGGTATTTATACTCTCTTTTCTGAACAGCAAGAAAGCTGAATCTGTTCAGCTTTTGGTCAGACCTTAGTTTACGGGAACAGCTAGCCCTGATAAGAGGCCCCAGGCAGAGGCTGCCATTCAGGTTTGTCCCATATTTGTGTGTTTAAATCATCATTGCCTGGGTGGGGTTTGGTATGGTGTACGAATGGCAGGCAATTCCTGCCCTGAACTGAGCCACTTCCAATTATTATTTTTCGTTTGTAAATGGGTATTTGTGTGTGGACAACATCTAGGTGGACATCATCTACCATAATAATAATAATTTCTAGACATTAAGATGACATCAGAATGTCTGAGGCAGGGTGGGTGACATCCCCACCATGCTGCGCTGTGGTAAATATTGAATGTTAAGGACTAGGGATGTAGCTCAGCTGCTGGATCACTGGCGTAGCATATATGAATCCCTGGGCTCAGTGTCCAGCACCCAGTAAAAGGCATGCCGGTGCACAGCTGTGATCCTGGCACTTGGGGGAGACAGGGGCGGATCTCTCAGAAATAGGAAGTTGTTCTCAGCTACCTGACTAGTTCCAGGCCAGTCAGGGCTACACAGAGAAACCCTGTCTCTAAATAAATAAATAATAAACTTTTAAAAATTAAGAATAAATTTTTATTGAAAATGTTTGTAGCAGGTGGTAGGCCATATCATAATTTATAAGCTTCCTCCATAGCTCTGTCAGAGAATTTCCAATATATTCCTAGTCTGTTGCTGGTTTAACAAAATCCTGGGGAGCTGGAGGTGGGAGTGGGGAGACTGGGAGCTGTCTGGCCAGCGGCTTTGGAGGCTGAACAGTTGAGACTGCAACAGCACCTAGCAGGGGTCTTCCTGCTATCCTGAGGGTGTGGGGGCATGGCTCAGGGGCAGAATGCCTGCCCAGGATTCCCCAGTGTAGGGCTAGAGTGAGGGTGCTTGGAGAGAGGTGGGACACTTACCTAGAATCTTCCAGTAAGGAATCAGGGTGTGGTTCTGTAGTTTAGCACCTGCCTAGCAAGTATACTGTCTTGGATTCCATTCCCAGCACTGCCGCACTGCTGCTCGCTCTCGCTCTCTCTCTCTCTCTCTCTCTCTCTCTCTCTCTCTCTCTCTCTCTCTCTCTCTCAGCAACTTCCGTCAGTGGGTACATGTATCCTCCTATCGAGATCCTAACAATAAGCAGTTGAAGTAAATAACAGTTCAGAACTCTGATATGTGCTGAGTGGGTCCACTAAACAGAAGGAGCCTCAGGTATGCTCTGGTGGTTCTACACCAGGCTGATAAGCCAGCACAGCCAGCTAAATCAGCATCATGCCTCCAGGACTGTGGGTCTCAGCGCTCTCCTGACATCCAATCTCAGATTAATTATCATCCTGTGTGCAGTGTCCGTGTGGCTCCCGATGGTGATGGTAGATTATTTGCCGTGAACACAGACTGTCCTCTGCTGTTGCCCCCTGCAAAGAGCAAGCAGAGTGTGGGAGAGTTGTTTCTTTTTTTTTTTTAATTGTTTTACCCAAAGAGAAAATTCTGTGCCATTTCCACACCAAACAGTCACAGTGGGAACCAATTTCCAGCATACCAGCCCCACTGCTCCAGCCAATACAGCAAGTGAAGACGTAGCTTTGTTTTCTAGAAGGATCCCACCCAAGGCATCAAAAACAGCGCGGCACAGCCTGGGTACAGCACCAGGTCGCCAGCATGGGGACCACACATTCCAAGGGTGGTGACAGGCGGGGAGCACTCCCTGGCCGCCCCGAGCTGTCTTTCTACAGCTCTTTCCCCAGGAAATGGAGCGAAAACGTCTTCTTGGATAATGAGCTATTGACCTCCAAGATTCTGTCAGTGCTGAAGCCCCAGGCAGAGCCAGGCTTCAGAACGGGCAACCTCTGCTATCCTGCCCACTTTCTCAGCACGAACTCTGTATTTGCTTCTGTTGCAGCCTCCCTGAAGGAACACCCTCGGACCACACTCCTGTCTGATGGCAGCAGCCCAGCTCCTTCCAGGAATGTCGGCATGACCGTCTCTCAGAAAGGAGGTCCCCAGCCAACAGCGAGCCCAGCCGGTTCTGGGGTACGACTTGGGTAAGCTGAGGGGTCTCTCTCCTGCTAGCATGTGCACTCAAGGGGGTGGGAAAAACTCCTTTATTATGTCCCATGGTAGATTAACACGTGCTTTCTGAATCCACGCATTTAAGATTTATCATCGTCTTGTGAGAGCCGAGTTAGCCCAGGCTGACCTAGAACTCACAGTATAGCTCAAGATGGCCTTGAACTTCCTATTTTAGATTGCATTTACTTATTTGTGTGTGTGTGTGAGCATATATGCCAGCAGACATGTGGAAGTCAGAAGACAATTTTCAGGAATTGATTCTCTCCGTCCACTGTTTGGGAGCCAGGGGTTAAACTCAGGTTATCCGTCTTGTAGGCAAACACCTTTACTAGCTGAGCTATCTCGCCAGCCCAGTACATGCGTTTTTTCTTTTTGTAACACCAGTGTATCCCTGATTACGTTCAGCCACAGGTTGGGACAGTTTGCCTAACATACAGGGTTGGCATCCCTGCACAGGGCTTCCTCCTGTCCCCAAGACATGCTTATGGTCTGACAGCTCAGTGTTTACCCTCACGGGGCTTCACGGGATGTCGAGATGGTCCTATGACTACAGGACGAGTCACGGTATAGCATTATAGTCACGCTCGCTGATGAGTCTCTGGGGAAAGGGGCTGTTTCTTTTCCTGCTTCTCACTGCTGTGGAGCTGTGTCTCCTCTAAGTCCTTAGGAGGAAGTGCACGCTGTGCCTTCCGCACACAGACTTACTGAGACATCTTGCTATGTCATCACCACTGAGCCACACCCCCAGCTGCTAGAATATGTTTACGCTTCCAGGAAAATGTGAGCAGGTAGCAGAATCTCAGACTCCTTCCCCAGCCTGGCCCCCCACAGACATGGCTGCCTCTGTTGTTACGCTAGTACAGCACATTTTTACAGTTGAACACCAGCTGGTACACAGGACCAACCTAACTCAAGTTCACATTTTCTCCCCTACTGCAGTCTCTCTGAGGACTCACTTAGAATCCCAAATTATGTTCTCCAGCTCTTCCCCTTCCCTCCTCCTTTCCTACCGTCTCTTCCCTCCCTCCCCCTTCCCCTCACTGAGCCTTGAGCATCCTGAGCAAACACTCTAACTTTGCACTACAACCCTGGCCCAATAGTCTCCTAACTTTTTTTTTTAGGATTTATTTATTATGTATATAGTGTTCTCCCTGCATGCGTACCTTCCTGGAGAGGGCACCAGATCTCATTACAGATGGGTGTGAGCCACCATGTGGTTGCTGGGACTTGAACTCAGGACCTCCAGAAGAGCAGTCAGTGCTCTTAATCTCTGAGCTCTCTCTCCAGCCCTAGTCTCCTAATTTTTTTTTTTTTTTCCCGAGACAGGGTTTCTCTGTGGCTTTGGAGCCTGTCCTGGAACTAGCTCTGTAGACCAGGCTGGTCTCGAACTCACAGAGATCCGCCTGTCTCTGCCTCCCTAGTGCTGGGATTAAAGGCATGCACCACCACCACCTGGCTTAGTCTCCTAATTTTTAACAATGATCTGTGACAAGTTAAAGTGTTCTGCTGGAAGCCAGAAAGTTCCCCAATCATCTAATTAGGAGTAACAATCCCATTTGCCTTACATATTTCAAGTAATACATGCCTATTTAAGTCACTTTTGCTGTTTATTTGGATTTTTTTGTTTATTTGCACTGTATGGGTGTGGGTGTGTTATGTATGTGTGTGTGTGCACATTGCACTGTGCACACGTAGAGCCAAAGACAACATTGTGGAGTTGGTTCTCCCTGTGTAGGTCCCAGGGATTGAACTCAGGTAGTCAGGTTTGGAAGCCTCTTTCCCTACAGAGCCATCTCACTGACCCGAATTTCTTTTTGTGAATAAACATATCATTTTACTCAGACCAATCACTGGAGACATGGATGAAGCCGACACTGTGTTTTTAAAGTTGAAGCAGAGTACCGACGACTCTCTGTCACTCACATCCTCAAACGCTGAGTCTGTTTTCATAGAAGGTATGGTGTTGCTGAACATTTTTTATTATCTACAGTTGACTACCCCTTAAGCAAAGGCTTGGCCACAAGGGCCGAAGCCTGTGGAGATTCTGTTCCCTCAGGCACTGACTCTTTCAAAACTACTATGGGAAACTTTATCTAAATCTAAAGAACTCAAAATTAAAGGTTTGAGGTGGGATTCTGCTTGCTCACCTTCTTCCTTTGCCTGGGTCTTCCAAACAAACTCTACACATGGTTCCTCCTTACCACTTCCTGTCTGCTACTTGTTGACTCAGCCTCCTGCTCTCAGGCTAATTTTATTTAATCAGTCGCGTCTTTGAATTGTTAACAAGCTGGCAGTGGTGACACACACCTTTAATCCCAGCACTTGGGAGGCAGAGGCAGGTGGATTTCTGTGAGTTCCAGACCTGCCTGGTCTATAAAGCTAGTTCCAGGATAGCCAAGGCTACACAGAGAAACCCTGTCTCAAAAATAACAAAAGAAAAAATGAATTGTTAACAAAAACAGGAAAAAATGCAGCACGCTTTGAAGTTATGTTCCCCAGCAGTAATGAATTCCCAGGGATGCCACATGGTTCCCTTCTACAGGGAAAGGCCAGAGGCTTTAGCACGCCCTTGACAGGGATAGGAAGACTTGACAAGCACCAGCCTAATCAACAACCTCTGTCTTTCCCCCAGATCCTTACATTGCCTCACTGAGGTGTGAGATCGAATCAGATGCTCATGAGTTTGAGGCGGAGTCCTGGAGCCTCTCTGTGGATTTAGCATATGCCAAGAAACAAAAGAAGGAGGTGGTAAAAAGACAGGATGTCCTGTATGGTAAGGTGTCTAACGCCTATGTCACCCTGCCAGCCCTCTTTAACTATTCTCTGTCTATTCTTCTGTAAAAATGCATTTGTGTGTGCGCTCGTGAGTGCATGCATGCATGCATGTGTGCGTGTGTCAGGGCTCCATGTGGAGATTAGACTACAACTTGGAAGAGTCAGTTCTCTCTACCATACAGGACACAGAGATCCAATTCAGGTCATCAGGCTTAGCAGCCTTTGCCCATTGAGCCACTTAGCAGTCCTATTTTGTTTGTTTTGTTTTCTGAGATAGTCTCATAGCCTCAAACTCACCATGTCACCTCAAATAACCTTAAACTTCCTCCACCTTGCAAGTACTTGGGATTACAGACATGCAGGTTTCTGCAGGGCTGGTAAGGGAGCCCAGGCCTTTGTGCATGCTAAGTAAGCACTCTTAACAACTGTACTACATCCCAACCCCATTATTTTTTATTTTTTTCATTCCCTAAGTCCACCTAAGAGTCTGAGCTACTTAGCCAGCCTCTCAGGAGACCCTGTAATCTGCCCCACCTACCACTCCCCTGGGACAACCTTACCTGTTGGAGCAGGAAGGGCTTTGTTAGCACAGGTCCCTGCTAACCCAGCCTGGCCAAGTGCCTGGGGCTGACTCATTCTTACCTCGTTGGTGACTCTCCATCTGTTTGGGCTGCTAGAACAGAATGTCATCAGCAGGGTGGTATTTAAACGAGTTTATTGCTCAAGTTTATAGTCACTAAGTTCTAGAGACTGAGAAGTCAAAGAGGGGTGCAGACTCAGAATTTGGTGAAAACCAGCTTCCTGGCCTTAGATGTCACCTCCCTGCCCTGCCTTCAAATCATTTGAGGGGCAAGAGCCTCTTTTTGTATGTCTGTTAACTTCAAATCTGAAGTACCTGCTGGCCACTGGTTGCATCTCTAACCTCCTTCTCATATACACATACATATGTGGATATATATGTCTATATAACACCTACTATATGTATGAATGTCACCTACTGAGTCCAGTTAGCACTGCCCCCTATGTACATGTATTTAGAACTGACCCCTTAGGGAGTGGGGGAGGGGCTGAAATGGTTCTCCCTCCTTCAGCAGCCGTTGGCGACTTGTAGGCCTTCATCTAGGGCTGGAGCCCTGTGAAGTAGTCTCCATCCGTGTTGGCACGTGGTCTTCCAGGTCTTGTGCAGGTAGCCCAATTGTTGAGATTCTGGGGGTGTAGCATCCCTGTTCTGTCCAGAAGACTATCAGGAAGCAGTTGACCTGGTCCTCAGGCTCTCCTTTTCCTTCTTCCTCTTCATGGTCTTCCTTGTGTCTGTATAACGTGTGATGTTACCAAGCTTATACAGCAAGTGCCTTTAATCCCTGAGCCATCTAGCCAGCCCAGGATCCTAGTCTATAAAAATTTTCCAATCTGTGAAGATTCTACTTACCCGAGCATACTTCCCAGAAGCTCACCATTTTTTTATTAGTTTGTTTGATTTTTTTTTTTTAGGCAGGGTCTCACATGTAGCCCAGGCTAGTATCAAAGTTGCCTATAACTAGCTGGGCTATAGACAGGCTCCAAAGCTGCAGAGAAACCCTGTCTCAGGGGGAAAAAAAAAAAAAAGTTGTCTATAACTGAGTTGACCTTAAATTTCTGATCCTCCTGCCTTCACAGCCAGAGTTCTGGGGTGGCAGGCCTGGGCCACATACCTGGTTTATGGGATGCTGGGGGAGGAGGGGACCCAAGGCTTTGTTCATGATAGACAGACACTCCTACAGCCATGTTCTTAATAATACGGAGGTCAGATTTTAGCACCTGAGTGGACTGCAGACATTGGTCTATCAAGGTCTGTGTTTGATCACATACATGCAGAGACATGCAAGTTTCACCCCCACTAAGGCTAGAAGTTCCTTCTTATGACCTTCTTGAACTCAAGGATACAGGCTTCTGGGACATTGAGGTTACACAGCTCACTCCTAAATACTTTTTTTTTTTTTCATGCTGCTTTGGCTTCAGACTCACATAGCACTTTAGGGAGGGAAGACTTCTAATTAAGAAAGGCTAAAGGTCAAGTGTGATGGGATACACCTGTTGTCACTAAGGCAGGAAGAAAGGCATTTGAGTCAAACCAGCCTAGGCAACTCAGCAAGTTTAGGAATCGGTTGTGCCCCCACCCCGCTGAAGGGAGGGTAACCTTGAACTCTTTACTTGGCCGTCTCTGCCTTCCACATACTGGAACTTCAGCAATACAGTGCCATATCCAGTTTCTTTAACTGGTTGAGGATGGACCCCAAGGCTTTATGCATATTAGGTAAGCACCATCACCTACACAGCTACATCCACAGCCCCAAGACTAGTTGCTTGTGAGGATAGAACCGAGGGCCCCTGGCCTCCCTATACACTCATGTACATAAATATGTGTATATACATGTGCTGGGTGTGGCCACACAGAAGAAAGGAGGGTGGTGTGTGTGTGTGTGTGTGTGTGTGCGTGTGTGTGTACACGCACACGCACAGGCCCGGAAAGCAGGCAGGGTCGACCCAGCTGCAGCAGGCCTGTGGTAGCTGTGAGTACCCTGGGAGCGGAGGTGATCTTCTCCCACCTCTGTCCCTGTAGAGCTGATGCAGACAGAAGCACACCACGTGCGCACCCTCAAGATCATGCTGAAAGTGTACTCCAGAGCCCTGCAGGAGGAGCTGCAGTTCAGTGGCCAGGCAGTGAGCCGCCTCTTCCTATGTGCTGATGACCTATTGGAAATACACAGCCACTTCCTTGCCCGCCTCAAGGAGCGCCGGCAGGAGTTCTTAGAGGAGGGCAGCGACCGGAATTACGTCATCCAAAAGATCGGGGATGTCCTGGTCCAGCAGGTAGGTACTATGACCAGGATGGGCCACACCTCTCTCCACCCTGTCTTCCTTCTGATAAGATGATGACGCTGGTGTATCACATGCTCGCCATCCTAGAAAGCACACGGTGCCCACTCTTGTCCAGCTGCTCGTGTCCTAGGAACACTGAGGCTGGAATGGCCTCGATCAAACATGTCCAAATACTGTTCAGAACTGTATTTTCAGCGAGGGATCTACCTCAGTTGACAGCACTTGCCTGCATGCAGAAAGCCTTGAGTACCATTCCCAGCACTGCCCAGAACCTGGGCATGGTGGTTCCTGCCTGTAATCCTCTTGGGAGGATGAGGAGTTCATCATCCTCATGCAGCTCACCTGGCCCTCTTGACGTCCCTCTCCTGAGTGCTGGGCTCACCACTGTTCCGCTAACACCAGTTTATGCAGTGCTGGGGACTGTGGCCAGGGCTTTGTATGCTAGACAGACACTTTACTGAATCACATCTCCAGCCTCCCCACCCCCGCTGCTCGGGGGTAGTGTGCGTGCCAGTGCAGGTGCCTCTTGAGGCCGGAGGTTGATGTCAGATGTCTTCCATCATTACACATCTTTTTATTTTTATTTTTTTTAAGATAGACTATTATATGGGTGGTCATGCCTGTGACATGGTGTACATGAGAAGATCAAAGGACAGCTTCCAGGAGTTGTCCTCTCCTTCCACCATGTGGATCTCAGGGATCAAATTCAGGTCATCAAGCTTCACAACAAGTGTCTTACTTACCAAGCCTTCTTGCCAGCCCTCTTCCTTCCTCCGTCTTTTCCTCCTTCCCTCTCTCTTCCTTTCTTGTTTGTTTGTTACACGGGGTTTCTCTGTGTAACAGCTCTGGCTGTCCTAGAACTTGCTCTATAGACCAGGCTAGCCTCAAACTCAGAAATCCACCTGCCTCTGCCGCCAGAGTGCTGGGATTAAAGTAGTATGCCACCATGCCAGGCTGGGTCAGGGGCTTTGGATGAATCGGGAGCTCACTGTTTTGATTGGTCAGCTGCCCAGTGAGCCCCTACAATCCTCCTATCTCTGCCCCCAAGCCCTGGGTTACAGACGCATGCTGCCAGACCCATCCGAGGACCTAAGTGAGCCCGGGTCTTTATGCTGAGCCATCTCCAAAGGCCCAGTCTTTGCATACATATGACTGCAAGCATACATTTGGGCCAAAGTCATCTTACTTCAGCTGGTCCCTTCTCATCCTAGGACTAGACGGGCAGAAGGCAGTGGGACCAAGAGTTTGAGGCCAACCTCACAACATAAGAAAACTCTGCAATAAAAATGAAATCATTCCCATGATCATTGCAGAAATGGATATGAGACAGAAAATTCACTTTTAGGACTCACTTATCTGTAGCAGTAGAGTAGGCACCTGACAGTGTGGCCAAAAGCATCTGAAGAGTGGGGACAGGCAGACCTCTTACCTCCTTGTGCTTGCACTGAGGCTCCAAGGAGGTGTTTAGAGGAAACATTCAGGAAAAATACAGATCTTAGCACAACCAGACGAACTAGATGGAAACATACTCTGGCAGCATTCGCGGCTCATCATCGGCTAACTTCCATTACCTTTCCATGTTAGTTCTCAGGGGAAACCGGAGAGAGAATGAAAGAGAAATACGGTGTGTTCTGTAGTGGCCACAACGACGCGGTCAGTCACTACAAGTTACTGCTGCAGCAGAGCAAGAAGTTTCAAAACTTAATCAAGGTAAACAACAAAAGCCTGTGTGTTTTATGTGTGTGAGAGAATGTGACTGTATGTTTGTATGGCACATCTGTGGCAGGCAGAGGGATAACCTTGGGTGTCGGTTCGTACCTTCTACCTTGTTTGAGATATCGACTCTCTTGTTCGCCACCAGACTAGCTGACCCTGGAGCTTCTGGGGATCCCCTGTCTCTTACCCCTACCCCACTTCAGGAGTACTGTGATTACAGACATGCACCATCATATCTGACTTAACGTGGGTGCTAGGCATCCAAACAGTTACTCATGTATGGGTGGCAAACCCATGAGCCACTGAGCCATATCCCAGGCCCTTGTTTTGATTTTTTGAGACAGGATCTTGCTATGTATCCCATTCTGGCTTCAAATTCGCAGATCCTCCTGCCTCGGCCTTCTAAGTTCTGTGATTACAGGGGTGTACCACCGTGCCAGCCTCACCCTTGTATTTGTTCATTTCCTGGCAGGGTCTCATAGAGTCCGTACTGATGATAAACTCTCTGTGTAGCAGAGGATGGCCCTGAATTCCTGGTCCTCCTGTCTGGGCCGCCCAAGTATTGGAGTCAGGACTGCATCACCACAGCCACTTTATGTGTTGCTGTGGATGGAGCCCAGGGTCAAGCACGCCACCAGCTGAGCCACATGCCCCCAGTCCTTACTTCTGAGACCAGTGTATGGTTCTGGCTAGCCTCTAGTTAGAATTACAGGCACGTGCCATGACAACCAGCCTTGTGGGTCCTTTAAGGCATTGTCTCACCCAGGGAACCACCCTCCAGAACTATCCCAGCTTCTTAGAGTTCTATGAGGCATGCATTCTCTAAACCTTTCTCCTTTGGCTGGTCCCTGTGACTCTCCACAGGGCGGCCAAGACAGCTTAGTGGGTAAATGTGCTTGCTGTTGTCAAGCCTGATAACCATATTTTGGACCCAGTCTCTACATGATGGAGAGAACTGATTCTGAAAGTAGTCCTCTAACCGTCAAACCTCCACACGAGCACATAAACAAAACTAAGTAAACAGATGTAAAAAAAATAAAATAAAATAAAACAACAGCAAAACACTAAAAAAAAGAAAAAACAGGTATGATATACAATCATTTCAAGGCTTAAGAGGTGGAGGCAGGAGGATCAGGAGTTCAAAGTCATCCTCACCTGCACAGGGAGCTTGAGACCAACGTGGGCTACATGAGACCCTCCCTCAGCAAAAGAACGAGGAAGGAAGGAAGGAAGGAAGGAAGGAAGGAAGGAAGGAAGGAAGGAAGGAAGGAAGGAAGGAGGAAAGCACAGTGGGGCAGAAGCAGCAATGAGGGAGATCCAGTGAAACCTATATTCAGGGACTCTTCAAAAGCTCCTCCATGACCCTGGTGCTCTTTAAGAAATAGCTCTTTTTGTTGGGGCTCAGTTGGTAGAGTGTTTCCTTAGCATGCACAAAAACACTGGGTTGGTTTTATTGTTTTTTTTTTTTTTTTTTTTTTTTTTTTTTTTTTTTTTTTTTTTTTTTTTTTTTTTTTTTTTTTTTTTTTTGAGACAGAGTTTCTCTGTAGCTTTGGAGCTTGTCCTAGAACTAGGTCTTGCAGGCCTCAAACTCACAGAAATCCACCTGCCTCTGCCTCCCGAGTGCTGGGATTAAAGGCAGGCACCACCACCACCCGGCTTATTTTTATTTGTTATTTAAGGTAAGATTTTGCTTTGTAGACCAGGCTAACCTCAAACTCAAGATCCTCCTGCCTCAGGCCCCCCTCCCCCCAGTGTTAGGATTATAGGCAAGCCCCACCATACCTGGCTTAAATTCCTCTTTAACAGATCTTACTAAGTGTCCACACACTTGTAACCTTTCCATATTTAGAAGACAATTCCTATTTGGGGGTCATAGAAGAAGGAAAAGGTCACAGCTGGGTGGAAGGGCAGGAGTTCCTGGCCTGAGATATTTACCTGATTCAGCAGGAAGCTGAACCTAGTAGTTCAGGTCTCTCTGTAACCTCAACTTCTTAGAAGGCTGAAGTAGAAACATCTTGCAAAAGCTGTACTGTCTCAACTACAAAAAGGGCTGAAGAGATGGCTTAGGTCTTAGTGCTAGCTGCTTAGCCACGAGTTTGCAGTTTGGATCCCAACGCCCTTGTAACAAGCCTGGCATGCAGCATATGCATGCAACCTCAACTCTATTGTGGGGCTGAAGAAGGCAAGAGAGTCATTGAGACTTTCTGGCTTCCAGCCTTGACAAGAAAACAGAAACTCCAGGTTCAAGGAGAGACCCTGCCACAAAGGGTCAGGACATGGCAGCACAGCCGTAGCACAGGCCTCTAATAGAAGCCTTAAGGCCAGCGCTGGTCTGCATAGTGAGACATAGTATCTCACTGACTGGGGGGACACCCAATGCCCTCTTCTGGTCTTTGAACACATACTTATACAGACCCCAAAAAAGGAGCATGTTACCCTAGCATAATAGTACATACAGGTAATCATCAAGCCATGTATGTGTGTGTTAGACTGTCTGTCTGTCTGTCTTGAAATACAGCTCAGTGATAGAGTATTTGTTCGGCATGCCTGAGGTCCTTGGTGCAACCACAAACACAAGGGAGTGGGGATGGTGAGGGAGGGAAGGAAGAAGGACGGAGAGCTGGGTGTGGTGCACATCTTTAATCTCAGCACTTGGGAGGCAGAGGCTGGTGGATCTCTGTGAGTTTCAGGACAGCCAGGGTCACATGGAGAGACCCTGTCTCAAAAATATCCAAAAATAAAAGAAGGTAGAAGAGAGAAAGATATTAAAACAGCTATTTCTTTTCCATTTCACAGAAAATCGGCAACTTTTCCATTGTGCGACGGCTGGGAATTCAGGAGTGTATCCTTCTGGTCACACAGCGTATAACCAAGTACCCCGTACTGGTGGAACGTATCATCCAGAACACGGAAGGTGGGAACACACTGCCACACTCGTGGGTCAGGGTGGATGGCTGTCTCAGTCCATCTGCTCTGGAGTTTATCAATGGACTGGCCAAGAGCCCTCTTGTAATCTACTTTACTGGGTGCTAGGCAGTCAGCACACAAGGACTGGAGCTGGGTGAACCTTTGCCCTTAGCAGAGGCTAGACCATGACAGGGCCCAGGTCAGTATCTGTAAACTGGACATGAACTAGATGAAAACAAGGTGATTTCTGGGTTAGTAAAAAATGATTTCCAGGACTGGAGGAATGGCCCAGCCATGAGAGCACAACTACTCTTCCAGAGAAACCCGGGCTTGAGTCCTAGCACCCACATGGTGTCTCACAACCATACACAACACGAGTTCTGGGGGACTGGACTCTTATGCCCTCTTCTGTCCTCCACAGGCACTATACTATGGAGCACAGGCATACATGCAACAAAATACTTACACATGTAAATAAAAATAAAAAGAAATGACATTTGAGTTATATGTCCAGGGCAAGATCTGAGCTGGTGCAGTGGGCATAGGTGTTCTCTCGGCATGAGGGGGCCTTGTATTGTGTAACGCTTTTCCTGGGAGACTTTAACAAATGCCTACTCATCCCAGACAGTGATTGGGAACTAACAACAGACCAGTGTAACCTACCATCAAAGTACAACTTGGTGAACCAATGATTATTGCGGTTACTTAAGAGCATGGATAAACAGTTACTTATAGGAGTAGGGTGACTGGAAGGCACCTACGTCACCAAAAGCCACCACAGCATGTGTGTTAGGACTCAAAAAAGCAGGAAGCCTGGATCTCTCTGCAGGACTTGCAGGCAACTAAACATGGAGCATGTCCTCACGTGAGCAGCCCTTAGTGTTTTCATAATCTTAGGGAGACCTGCTGTATGACTCTGAGTTTCAGGGACTTCCTGAGTCTTAACAACTTCCCTCAAGAATAGAACATTAATTCAGAGGAAATTGCTGTCCAACAAATAGGCAGGAAGATCCACATGTTCTACACTAACCTGGGCTGCATTATGAGACCCTGATTCAAGAGTCAAACAGAAAGAAGAAAAGGATGACATCTGATGGCCACAGAGAGCACAGCAGAAAGGTCATGTAGCATGCCAGGTGCTCATGGGAGCAGGGACGATGACCGCCCCTCTCAGATATCTGCCAGGTTTGGGCCATGAGGAAATGGCAAGTTTCTCTACTGTGTCCTTCAGGTGATAGGGCCGTTCTGTTGACTGGACCAGGAAGTAGAAGCAGCCATTTTATGATGAGCTAAGGACTTGAGGGGAATCTGTCTATAATGATGGTAGGTGTGTGTGTGGTGTGCTGGGTACTTTGTGCCATTTGAACCACCACACCTAACTTTTTAAACTCTAAGACAAGCATGGTGGCAAGAGGTGGAGGTAGGAGGATCTTCTGCAAGTTTGAGGCCAACTTGATCCACACTGAATTCTAGGCTAGTCAGGGCTACAGAACAAGATCTTGTTTCAACAAAAACAAAGGCTGGGTATCATAGCACAGTCCTCAGTCCCAGAACTCTCAGAGGCAGGTGGATCTCTGAGTTCCAGGACAGCCAGGGCATGTGAAGAGACCCTGCCCTGCCTCAAAAAAGAAAAATTAGCCAAGTATGTATGGTATTGCAGGCCTGTAGCTCTAGCACCTGGGAGGTGTAGGGGGCAGAGCATCAGGAGTTCAAGGTCATTCTCTATAGGAAGTTGAGTCCAACCTGTGCTACATGAAATCCTGTCTCAAAAAATAATTCAAACAGAGACAAACTGAGTTCATTAAACTCTGGGCTATTATTAATTTTGGAGAACCATTCTCATCTCAGAAATTACAGTTGGCAATGGGTTCTGAAAGACCTCTAAGCAGTGGCCCTAGGGAATGAATATACCTATAGATCCCATCCAGATGTGGCACACCCACTTCTGTTGTGTTTGTGAGCGTGGGCACAAAGACAGTGCTGCCTCTGCTTATGTGTGACAGCTGGCACTGAGGACCACAAAGACCTGAGCCAGGCCCTGAACCTCATCAAAGACATCATCTCACAAGTGGATGCCAAAGTCAGTGAGTATGAGAAGGCCCAGCGCCTCAGGGAGATCGCAGGCAAGGTGGACTTGAAGTCATCCAGCAAACTCAAGAATGGGCTTACCTTCCGCAAGGAGGACATGCTGCGGCGCCAGCTCCACCTAGAGGGCACCTTGTGCTGGAAGTCCACATCAGGACGCTTGAAAGGTAAATGTCTGCCTCTGGCCACCTCTGGTGGGTTTCATGTTGGCTCCACAGAATACAACCTTGCAGTTCTGGCAGCTGTGTTAGACTGATTGGCACCATCTGGATGGTTTGGGCTCTATCTTAAATTATATTCCATCTTGAATTGGTACTAAGCTGAATGACGGGAACAAGACCAAACTTGCACTACTTGAGTGTTTTCAGGTTTAGAGGAAGCAGTGGACTACAGAGAATAGACTGGAGGAAGAGTGTTTAATTTGACAAGATCATCAGAAATGGCTCTTCCAGAGATGGTGCTGTAGGTCACTTGTATGCTTGCCTAGCATGCATGAGGCCTTGGTTTCCAGCCACAACACCAAGTAAACTTGAACATAGTGACAGTCAGCTCTAGGGAAGCAGAAGCAAAGGGATTGGGAATTTAGGGTCATTCTCAGCGACAGATCAAGTTGGAAGCCAGAGTAGGATCCATGAGACCCTGCCTCAAAAAGGGTAAAAAAGAAAAAGAGGCTCCCTCAAGCATTAGTATCTGCACTCCTGTGACTCATGTGCAAACGTCTCACTGTGAGAGGTGTTCATACAGTCACAGGGATAAAGCACCAAGCGGGACTGGGACTTAAGGGAGCTGAGGCCAGCCCTGCCTCCATCTTTGCAGCCAGAGACAAGCTATAACCTGGGATAGAAAGAGAAGTGCATTTCAACAAAGAAATCACCTAGAAGCTGGAACAATGATTCAGTGGGTAGAGTGCTTGCCTGAGTTCAGTCCCCAGCCAGGCATGGTGATGCATGCCTGTAACCCTAGTACTGTTTACGCTAGTTTAGCCACGTGTGGTGGAAGTATAGATCCAACTTGTACAACTTGTCCTCCAACCTTCACATACACACTAGGGCATGCACACACCTTCCTTCTAGCCAATTTCCTCTGCATGCCATACACACACATCAAAAAAAAAAAAATCAGGAAGTGATTAAGGAAGATATCCAGTATCAACCCCTAGTGTATGCACATATACATGCACAGATGCACCCACACAAATGTGTGCACATATGCATGAACATATATATGGATTACATGCGTACCCATATGCACAAAATAGCAACGATAATAAATGAGGGGCTGGAAAGATGGCAAAGTCTTTAAGCATACCTGCTGCTCTTATAAAGAACTCTAAATTTGGTTCCCAGAACCCACACTGGGCAGCTTACAACTGCCTGTAACTCCAGCTATAGGAACCCAGAAGCTCTACTCACTGAGAGCACTTACATACATGCACAAGGCCACACAAACACCCATGCACACATAGTTAAAAATAAATCCTTGAGCGAGGCTTGGTGGTGCGTGCCTTTAATCCCAGCACTCAGGAGGCAGACACAGGCAGATCTCTGAGTTGAAGGCCAGCCTGGTCTACAAAGCAAGTTCCAGGACAGCCAGAGCTCTTATACAGAGAAACTCTGTCCTGAAAAGCAAAAGTAAATTAATAAGTAAATAGAGAATACAAATTTAAGCCACATGGTAGTGGCTCATGCCTATAATCCCAGCACCTGGGAGGCAGAGGCAGGCGGATCTCTGTGAGCTCAAGGCCAGCCTGGTCTACAGAGCAAGTTCTAGGACAGGCTCCAAAGCTACAGAGAAACTCTGTCTTGAAAAACCAAAAATAAAGTAAAATAAAAATAAATAAAAAATAAAAATAAATTCTTAAGCCAGGCGGTGGTGGCACACATCGTTAAGGCAGAGGTAGGCAGATCTCTGAGTTCGAGACCAATCTGGTCTACAAAACAAGTTCCAGGACATCCAACGGCTACACAGAGAAACCAGAAAGCAAGAAAAATAATGAAATAACTGAATGGGACATGGGAGCTCTAGCTTGACTTCTGAACATTCTGAGCAGGAGCCTCTGGTGTTCATTCACGCCAAGTCTCCAAACTCAGGTACTTTGTGGGAAGGGGTGAGTTAGGATGGTAATTCCTAGGAACAAGAGGCTGAAGCATCGTGGTGCTTCCCTCTTGAGCTCTTCTGGGTACGTGACCTCTAAGACTATCCTCCGTGTGCTGGTCTCTGCAGATGTCCTTGCTGTCCTGTTGACTGACGTACTTCTGCTGCTGCAGGAAAAGGATCAGAAATACGTCTTTGCTTCTGTGGTATGTGCCTAACGTCTTCCCAGGTCCCATGTCTTTGCTTCCATGGCATGTTCTGATATCTTCACAGGCCCCCCTTGCTGGGGCCATGCCATGGTGGGCCCCATAGAGGGATGTCCAAGACAAGACATGGAGAGGAAACACAGATGGGGTGTAATATACTGAGAGACACCCTGTCTCATGGTCCTTCCAGAAGGTTCCAGCCAATGGGCATCAATAGAATGTATAGGGGATGAGAACCTGTCTTGCTTCCTGGTATGGCTCTGGTCCTCGTTAAAAGGTCTCCGGTGGGAGGGCCTTAAGGGGGTCACTGAGGTCAGTTGTCCTTGGGTAAAAAGTTTATTAGAAGAATTAGTAATGCCATAAGCAGATGGCAGTGTGGAAAGGGCTCCAAACAGAGTTCAAACTCAGAAGGCAGGATAGGGACCATTCTTTATAGGTATGAGAGGAGGGAGGAGGTTCACATAAGCTGTCTCTGATTTCTGGGTGGCAGAGAGAAGGGACAGAATTGCAGGGTAGGAATATGTCACTCTAAGAGTGTGGGAGAAGTGAGAAGGAGGGGTGCATCTAGTTGAGTCTGTGAACTTACATGGGGACATGAGGATGGTAAGCATCGTTCTTCTGGAATGATACCCGGGGGTAACAGCTAGGATGCCAGAATCTGCTCTAAGGATGGAGCTGGAGAGGGCTGCAGGTGGACATAACTTAAACAGTGCCTGGTCGGGGGTTAAGCACTTCCTTCCTGGAGTGCCCAAGGAGCTGTTACAGATTCACAGACACATTCTCTATACTGGGGTGCAGAGGGTTTTACCTATAGCTATGAGGCTAGGGAGAAAGGGAAGGGCTGCTGCCAGATTATCCCCCAGCCCATGGTCTAAAACATCCTCAGTCTTTCCAGCCTCACTGTCTTTGTGTGTCCAACATCCCCGGGTACTCACAGGCCCTAGGGTCTGGCCCAAAGAACCTTATCCTAGTGTATGGATGTTGGATGTACTGGTATGGCAAATGGTAAAAAGCCTCTGCTCTAGGGGTCTGTAGAGAAGGGGATGTGACAGGAAGCAGAAGAAAAGGACCTAAACTGAGTTTATGTGGCACACTAATAAAGCCCCAAATTGGAATCTGCACCATTTACATAGACAAAGGACACTAAGACCCAGAGGTTCCACATCAAGATTGTCAGCTGTTCAGTCCCTGAGTAAGCCTGGCGAGTGGCCATGCTCTCTATGGGATGGGCATCAGAAGAGTGAGAGAGATAGGTAAGGGGGGTGAGGACAGGTGGACCTGAGGGAATGGTGTGGGGCCCCAAAATCCCTGCGTTTTCAGCTCCAAGTGTTAGATCGGGACTTATGGAGGTGATGTGGAAATAAGAGCATCCTGACCTCTGCCAATGCAGATTGTTCTTTAATCAAAACGAAGGACTGCAGACTCTGCAGGGGTGGAGATGGGGCCAAGGCCAATGGCTTAGTGTCTTATAGGGCAGAAAGGGACCGCTTGAGGTGAACAATTCCATCCATTGACCTTAAAGCACCTCAGGAATTCTCCCACCCCTTGTCACCCCATCCCACCTTTCCATAAACCGGGTCAGACTATTTTTGTCACAAAAGCTGCCCCCCTCTTTAGCCCAGCACAGCTCTTAAGCCACCACAGTTTCACACAAGGCGTAGGTGTCAGTGTGATAGCTGTGTGCCCCACCCGCACTCTCAGAAGACTTTGGGGCATTAGTAGACTTGAACCAGGAAACACGCAAGCACCATCATCTTCCTAGACCCGCTCGTCCTCCTGCCTCCTGTACAATATCTCAGATGGATCTCTGTGTATCCCAGGTGAGACGTAAAGTAGCCTGTCTTAGTCCCCAGAAATGCAGGGACAAGTCAACCGCAGCACCCAGTGTTAATATGTTCAGGAGTTCTTAGACAGGAAAGCACACACACACAAAAAGAAAAATCATCCAATCTGGCTTAATTGCATACACCTGTCATCTGAGGGTTTGTAAATTCAGGGCCTTATATAATATAGCCCAGGTTGGCCTGGAGCTCACTGTTTAGCTGAGGCTGGCCTTGATCTTCTGAACTTCCTACCTCCACATCTTAAGTGTTGGGGTGACAGACCTGTGGCTGGCCCAGTCTTACAGTCCTATAAGGATACCAGTTCTATTGGTTTGGACCACTGGAAAGACAAGTCTTGTTTAACATGACTTTATCTTTAAAGATCCTGTCACTGCACACCATCACGTTCTAAGGTGCTTGGGCTTAGAACCTCAATATATAAGAGGGTCTAGGTAATTTAACTCAGAACGCTACTTGATGTGCCTTTTGAGGTCAGCAGGTGGCTCCATGGGTAAAGATGCTGCTGCAAGGCTTCATAACCCGAGTTCAATACCCAGAACCCTCATGGTGGAAGGAGAGAGCCAGCTCCCACAAGTTGTCCTCTGACCTCCACAGGTGTACCTCTCACTCATATAAAATGCTAAAAAAAAATTAATAACAGAAAAGAACTATGCCCTATGCCAGGTATGGTGGTGCACACCTGAAGTCCCAACACTTGGAAGCTGAGACAGGGCCTCTGTCAACTTGAAGCCAGCCGGGTTTCACAATGAGTTCAAGCCCTCAAAGGGCAAAAAAAAGAATACTAGGATATCGATTAAATGGTCTCCAGTTAGTAAAACGTTCCTGCTTTGTGCTGGCATGACTCTTTCGTACTTGAAGACCTGAGCTCACTCCCTAGAGCCCACATGAAAAAGTAGGGTGTGGTGGCACACACTCGTGCCCTGTGCTGGGGAGACAGATCCCAGGGGCTCACTGGCTTACCTGCCTGACCTACTTGGTGAACCTCAGGACACTGAGAAACCACGCACCTGAGGAACAACAGCCAAGATTCATCTGCCTTCCGTGAAAATGCATGTATACACTGGGAGTGGGGCAGGGTTCTCGTGCTGTTTGACTATAGCAGGACAACAGTTACGTTTCCATCACCTTCCCCCTGCAGGACTCAAAGCCGCCCATCATCTCTCTGCAAAAGCTAATTGTGAGAGAAGTGGCCAACGAGGAGAAGGCCATGTTTCTGATCAGTGCCTCCATGCAAGGACCAGAGATGTATGAGATCTATACCAATTCCAAAGAAGACAGGAACACCTGGATGGCTCACATCCGCAGAGCCGTGGAGAGGTGAGCCCGGGGTCTTCTGCCTCCTCAGGCAGGCTTTTCCTGCCCAGTCATGCTCTCGGGATTGAGAAGCTATTCTCATCTGACTTTGACCTCCCAGACAGATCCCTTCATTGGTTGGTTGATTTCTGAGAAACAATCTCATGTAGCCCAGGCTGGCATCCAGCTCACTGTGTAGCCCAAGATGAGCCTTCTTAATCTTCCTGTCTTTACCTCCCAGGTTTTGGGATGAAAGGTAGGCACCACTGTACCCAGTTTATACAGTGCCAGGGGTGAAACCCAGAGTCATGAGTGTAAGTGAGCACCCTACCAACTGAGCCACCCAGTCCCATGAGGAAATCATGTCTCACAATGAACTGCTCCTTCTAATAATGGCCAACCTGCCACAGTGCTGAAAAGGCCTGGATATTTCTGTATAAGGTGTGCAAGGGACCAGGCAGTTCCAAATTGGACCTTTATTGTGGGCCACTCAGATAAACAGTTTGAGGCCAGCCTTGTTGGAGCAGGTTATAATATCCTCTTTATTTCTCAGACTGAGCGCCCTGCAGATCCCAGTCCAGTGCCTTATCTCTTCCCCCTGCCTGAACCAGAATCTGGCTGACAGGTGGGCATGGAGATTAGTCCAGCCTCCATCTATAGCCAGCCTCCTGCTCCTTATTCACACCATGCTTAGAAGCTTCAGCTCCCAGTGTCTGACAGTCATCCACAGCTGGGTACTGACCACCTCCTCCATGTCACAGCTGTACATGAGGAGCTTGAGAAATGGCTCAGTTAATGCTTACTGCTTTTGCAGAGGACCTGAATTAAGTTACTAGCACCCACATAGTGTGGCTGCTCACAACTGCCTATAATTCTAGTTCAGGGGATCCGATGCTTTTTTCTGGCCCCCATTACGAGCACATAACATGGCATGTGCACACACATACATATAAATTAAATGTATCACAGTTTTTAAAAATTTGTGCAAGAAGTAGAATTTGGTGGTGTGTACCTGTACCCCCCACATTAGGAACCTAAGGCAGGAGGATCAGAAGTTCTCCTGGTTAAACCCTGACCCTTTGAGAGCTGTTGTGTATTGACTCTTCCTCCTCGTCCTCCAAGCTAAGCTCCTCACAAAAGTAGTGTACATGCTTACCCAGCATGCACAAAGCTCTCAGTCCAAGCCCCAGCACCATATAAGCTGGTTGTGACAGTGCATGCCTGTAATCCCAGCACTTGCTGTAGTAGAGACAGGAAGATCAGAAAATCAAGGTTGTCCTTGGCCAGAGTAGTCTGGGTCTAGCCTGGGATGCGTGATGCCTTGTTCGTTGTTTGTTGTTGTTGTTTGTTTGTTTAAAAAAACAAATAGGTGGTGGTGATTACACCTTTATCGCAGCACTCAGGTGGATCTCTGAGCTTGAGGCTAGCCTGATCTACAAAGGGAGTTCCAGGACAGCCAGGACTACCCAGAGAAACCCTGTCATGAAAACCAAATAACAACAAAACCCAGCAGTGCACAGGGAGACATAGGTCAGTGGAAGAGCTGTTTCATAACTAATACAGGCCCTGGTTCAGTAATCTTTTTTTAGTTTTCTTCGAGACCAGGTTTCTCTGTAGCTTTGGAGCCTATCCTAGAACAAGCTCTTGTAGACCTGGCTGGCATCAAACTCACAGAGATCTGCCTGCCTCTGCCTCCTGAGTGCTGGGATTAAAGGCATGTGCCACCACTGCCCGGCCTGGCTCAGTAATCTTTTCATAATTACATTTCTTTATTGGAGAGAAAGTGAGCCATGGCATGCATGCAAAGGTCAGAGGACAACTTTTGGGGTTAGTTATTCTCTTCTATTATGTGAGTCCTGAGGACTGAATTCAGGCACAGACACGCCAAAAGTGGGTGTTGGATGTTTTCTCTCCCTCTACCTATTCTGCTGAGGCAGGGTCTCTTGTAGATCTGGGGCTTCATTATCCCCCAAGCCATCCCCCCAGCATAAGGAAGAGAGAAAAGGGATGCTCTGTGGTGCTGCTATCAGAACATGGACCATGTGACATTGACGGCAGCTGTCCCCTTTGCCTGCAGCTGTCCAGATAAGGAGGAGGGCTCCTCCATCGAGCCTGAGGAGAGAAGGATGAGTGAAGCCTTCACCCTGAGACTCCGGGACTTTCAAGGTAAGAGGGGTCAGCACTGTGAGCTGTAACCCATGGTCCCACATCAAGTTTATGCCTCCTCATTGAGGACTAATGTACAATGTCACCCATTTCAAGAGTTCAGTTCATGGCCAGGGAGATGGTTCAGTAGGTAGAGTGCTTGACTAGCTTGCATGAGGCCCAGGGGTTCCAACCCCAGCACCACAAACACAGGGATAAGTGTCAGGAGTTCAAGGTCATCTTCAGCTATGTGGTGAGCAAATCTAGCCAGAGCTAAAGATTGCCTCAAAGATAGATAGATAGATACATAGATAGATAGATAGATAGATAGATAGATAGATAGATAGATAGATAGATAGGATTAAAAAATAAAACATCACAATAAAAAATAAGTAAATGGAGCCAGACATGGTGGCTGCACACCTTTAGTACAGCACTCAGAAGAATTTTATGTGTATGGGCAGTGTGCATTTTGCCTGCATGCATGTCTGTGCACTACATGCATGCAATGCATGCAGAAGCCAGAAGAGGAAGTTAAAGGCAGTTGTGAGCCACCCTGTGGATGCCAGGAATCAAATCTGGGTCCTCTGCAAAAACAACCAATGTCAAATGTTCTGAACCACTGAGCCATGTCACTAGCCCCAAGATTGATAAACTTGGAGGCTGAGGTGAGAGGATTGATGGGAATTCAAAGCCAGCCTGCATCATTCAGCTATTACCAGGTGAACCAAGAGTATATAACAAGATGATGTCTAAAAACAAGAAATTAATTAATAACAACCCTGTTTTCTGGGCTGACAGGATGGCTCAGCAGGTAACAGTAGTTTGTTACCACATCTGACAACCCAGTTTCAGTCCCTGGAACTGACATAATAGAACCAACAGCTCAAAGTGGTCCTCTGACTACCACATGCAATCCATGGCATGCTTGCCATGTAATATACAAATAAGGGAATAATGTTTAAATAGTGTTTAAAACAACCCCTCAGTTTTCTAACATAAAATTTTAAGAATTTAACATTTTTAAAAATTTTTTTAAGGGGGCTGGAGAGATGGCTCAGAGGTTAAGAGCATTGCCTGCTCTTCCAAAGGTCCTAAGTTCAGTTCCCAGCAACCACATGGTGACTCACAACCATCTGTAATGAGGTCTGGTGCCCTCTTCTGGCCTGCAGGCATACACACAGACAGAATGTTGTATATATAATAAATAAATAAATATTTTTAAAAAAATTTTAAGCTAGGTGTGGTAGTTCACACTCACACCTATAATCCATGTACTTGGGTGGCCAAGGCAAGGGGATCTCCAGCCTGCAGAAGAGTAAAATCCTGTCTCAAAAAACAAACAAAACAGATGATGGTGGTGCCTGCCTTTAATCCCAGCACTAGGGAGGCAGAGGCAGGCCTGGTCTAGAAAGCAAGTTCCAGGACAGCTGACGCTACACAGAGAAGCCCTGTCTCAAAAGACCAAAAAACAAACAAACAAAACCAGGGGCTGGAGAGACGGCTCAGCAATTAAGAACGCTTGCTGCACAACCATGTGGGCCAGCGTTCAGACCAAGTCCCCACATAATAGACCAGATGTCTTGCATACACACCTGTAACCCGAGGTCTGAGAAGTGCAAAGACAAGGGGATTGCCAGGATTGCAATCTATGGCTTACAGACATAGAGCCCCAGCTTTGAGGAGAGATTCTCCTCCAATTAGTACACAGAGTGACAGAGAAGGACACCTGATGTCATCTTCTGGTCTCCATGCATGCACACAGATGTCACACCCAAATGCATATATGTATACTCATACATGAATAAATATGGGGGAGGGGGTTTGAGACAGGGTCTTTCAGTAGTCCTGGCTGCCCTGGAACTCACTATGTAGATCATATATCCTCCTGAATCTGCCTCCCAAGTGCTAGGATTAAAGGCATGTACCACCACGTCCAGCAAATAAATCTTAAAAACAAAACAGGGCTGGAGAGATGGCTCAGTGGTTAAGAGCACTGCCTGCTCTTCCAGAGGTCCTGAGTTCAATTCCCGGCAACCACATGGTGGCTCACAACCATCTGTAAAGAGGTCTGGTGCCCTCTTTACATGCACACAGACAGAATATTGTATACATAATAAATAAATAAATATTTAAAAAAAAACAAAGCCTGGGCTGGCAAGATGGCTTAGTGAGTAGACACTTGGCTGCCAAACCTGATGGCCCAAGTTCAATACCCAGATTCCCCGGAATGAAGCAACTCAACTCCTGCAAGTTATCCTCTGACCTCCACACATTGTGTCCCCACGCATATACACAAATAAATAGATGTCATGTAAAATTTTTACATTAAAACGTATATTGTCTTTCAAGGCTTCTGTTCCAGACTCCTGCCTGTCCACACTTACCTGCCATTTGGTGTTCACAGTGGGGATGGGAGGAGGAGCTGAGAGGACAGGACCATACTAGTCGGTGTTAGAGGGCAGATAGGGGGTGCGCCTTTGAAGTTACAGGTCAGTTGGGCACCCCACCCTCACAGTCTGGCTCCAAGAGCAGGTCTCTGGGGCTGACCACCACCTCTGGGTTTTCTATAGAACGACTGAGCCTGAAAGACCAGCTGATCGCACAGAGCCTTCAGGAGAAGCAGCAGATCTACCTGGAGATGGCAGAGCTGAGTGGGCTGGATGAGTCAGCCCAGTGCCGAGGCCTCTTCCGAGGAGGCGGGGACCCCTCTGAGACCCTACGGGGGGAGCAGATTCTCAGATTAGCCATGAGCGAGAGTAAGTCAATCATCCCATTATGGTATGTTATGATATTGTAAGGGTGAGCTGCATGGGGGTCCAAAGCCAGGCCCAGGACTCTGTGTGGCTGACCTTACCTGGGACCACTGTCATTTTGCTTTCTTGTGATTCGGGGAGCCCAGCATGTGCAAGAACTCTACAACCAAGCTACACCCCAATCCTTTATGTGCTTTCTTTACCAATCAACAAACACTCCCTGGGTGACCTGGTTAACCCCAGAAGTCTAGGGCTGTGGCTCTGTTGGTAGGGTGCTTGTCTAGCATGTGTGAAGCCCTGGAATCCCAGCACTTGGGAGACTGAGGCAGGGGGACCAAAAGTTCAAGGTCATCCTTCGCTCCTTAATGAATCTGAAGTTCATCTGAGAGGCATGAAAGACTTGTCCTCAGGGGAAAAAATAAAGCCTGGGCCTAAGAAATGGCCATCAGGTAAGAGTGCTAACCTCCATGTCTGACAGCCTGAGTTCAATCCTAGACATCCACGTGAGAGAAGGACAGAATCAACTCCTGCAAGTTGTCCTCTGACCGCCACATGTGTGCATTCGTACACACAAGAAATAAAATGTAATTAAATTTGCTGAGTAAAATCCAGTTCCCTGATACAGATCCTTCTTTTCTGGGACAGTCCCCAATAATATTCTCAGGAAAATGTATATACATTTTGAGGGACTTACGGAGTTCGGAAACACACCCTTGACTTGGGCCAGAACTCCAACTCAAGCTCCAGCAGGCTGCCAGGCATTAACAACCATTAAACCACTGGATACATATAACCTGCTGTCTCCATACACATTCTACCCTGACCGTGCAGAGACCCCTCTGCCAGCCTCAAGGCTGGTAAGGGGAACCTTCAGCGATACAGGAGCTCCTAACAGAGCCATTGCAGCCACCAGGGCCCCATGATGTCCAGGAAGGCAGCCAATGTAGTGGTTCTCTTCCATCAGCAAGTCAGACCACTCAACCCCTTGCCTGCACAGCTTAGCCATGACCCTCCAGCCACACCCACACTGCCCTTCCACCTCCGTCTCCTGAGGCCATTGTTTCTGGCCTCCAGTGACACAAATCTGGTACATGGGTTGGGAATGTTCTCCCTGCCTCTTCACCTGGCTAGAGACTTTGAATGGTAGAGGGTCATTGAAGGGTTTGTAGACCACCCTTACCCCATGGGCAGCCCTCCTGTTCAGCTCTCCCTTTATGTGTTTGCTGCTAAGCCTAGGTAGGGACTGGTGCATCACATCCCTAGGCCTGGCTTGGGGCCTAGATTTCAGTAGCACCCTGAGGAACTGGAGAGAAAAGTCACCGAGCCCATATGACCCCTGTCTATATGTTGTGTGACACTTTTTTTTTTGAGGAGACATGAACGTATACATCTTCACCCTAGACAGGGAACTAATGACAGACTGAAGTAACAATAACACCAGTCCAACTTGGTAAACCAGTAAGTTTGTAGAGATCACTTACAAGCAGTGGTGAGGGATTACTTACAACTTAAAGGCAGTTGCATCACTGAAAGCCACCCCAGCCTAGATGACAATTAATGAAAACTGGGACCCTGGAGCTCTCTTCATGACTTGCAGGCAAAGTTGGCTGAACTGGTTGGGAGAGTCTCTTTTCCCCAGCAGTCCTTTCTATTTATATTACTTCCAGTAAGTTTCAGGGACTTCCTGAGGTTTGTGCATTGTTGACTTCCTAAGTCTTATCATGTCTCCTTTCAGAACTTCCTGAATCTTATGGAGCCTGTCTCTAAGATAGGTTGTTTTCAAACCCAATGGCTTCCCAATTTCCTTAGCTTCTCCCTTAGACACTGAGGATGATGGCTCAGAATTTGGCTCCATTATTAGAGTGCTTGCCTAACACTGGGCTCTGTCCCCAGCACTGCCAAAGCCAAAGTAATAGTGAACTATCATCGCAGTACTCAACTGCCACGCTTGCTTCTGGCTCAGGTCTAGGCTCCCTGCCGCCCCTGGCATAACCCCCACCACCTGTTAACTCATGTCCCCTACCTCTCCTTCACAGTTGAGGGCATCCAAAGCCTGATTTGCCGGCGGCTAGGCAGCACCAGTGGCCAAGTGGAGGAGGGAGGTGTCTCTGCAGGCCTGCCTCGGAGGGCTGAGACCTTCGGGGGCTATGACAATGTGGGCAGCCCCAGCAAGAGTAAGTATGTTACCTACGTCTGAGGCTGTACCTCGGGAAGCTCATGAGTGGCAGGTCCAGTGCTCTGTACAGTGTGACTTCTTGAGTTTTTAGTTTTGAGCCTTAACTTTTAACAGCTGAGCTATTTCCAGCATTGGGGGTATAATTCCTGAAAACAGTCCTCGATCCTCTGGGTGTTGTGGGCTCTGTACTACAAAGCCAGGGCCCTGCAGCAGGCCTCCGGGAGCACCCTAGCATGTATTTATTACGTGGTAGGGTTTGGGTGAAGAGGAGGAGAGCCCAGACCCTGTGGGATTCATAGCATCCTCTTGTGATCAATTTGGGGTCTCCAGATGGCAGCTTTAAAAAGAAGATGTGCAACAACGACCCCGGGCCCCAAGACTGGCAGGGGCCTGCTAGCATCCCAGATTCCAGATCCTGTGACGGCAACACCCCCTGTGGCTGTGAGGAATCACCACAGGCGGTAAGTGACTCATGGTAACGTTGATTACCTGGGTTCAGACAGTCCAAGTCAGCATAACCACCACTAACATGGCAGCCTTCAAAATTAATCTTGCAGACCCTTAGGAATGGCTGGCAGTGACTCGGGAGGGAGGCAGAGGAGAGAATGGGCTTGACTTCAGCAAGCCCAAAACCTCACATTGGTACCATAAGCTATCCAGAGTGTGTGGTAACATGTGCCCACATTCCTGACCTTTCACAGGCTCTTCCCTCCCTATTCGGCACAACTAATACCTGCGCATTGTTGCTGAGGTTTCCAGAAGCTAAGGCCACCTGCCCCTATCTGTATCTGAGGCTTGAACAGGACCCTGTGTCTGGCATGGCCACATAAGCTCGACTTCCAAGCCTCCAAGCCTACCCTAACTGTAGAGCTGGACATCAGCCACCTCCCCACCTCCCAGGCATCCCATTTTCATTCTCCAGACTCTTGAATGGACGTACATCAGATGGCCAAAGCACTTGTACCCCCACACACAGTCATAGCTCAGGCCTGGATCCTTTTCTTTTTCCCAAGCCCAGAATATGTCTACTCACATAGTGAGCCGTGGTGGTTTAGATTTAATTGCATTTGCTACTATCATCCTCTTCTTCACAGGTGGAGATGCCTAGCACAGAGAGCAGCTCATGTCTGCCCATTGTCCTGGAGTCAGAGGTACCACCCCTGGTCCACCTCCCCCAGGGACGGCATGCCCACATATCCTGTGTACCTTCATCAGGTAGACCAATTTGGCTTTCTCTCTGCAGCTGGTCCACCGGGTCCAGACACTGTCGCAGCTTCTTCTTAGTCTCCAGGTACCGGCAGCATCAGGGAGGGGACTGGCTGCTCCCGCTGGGTCTAACCAAGAACATGGCTCTCATCAGCCCCATCCCTATCCCTGTTCCTAGGCAGTTATCGCTCAACAGGACAGCTATGTGGAGATGCAGCGAGTGGCCATCCAGGAGCGTGAGAAGCAGTTCCGACTGCAATCAACACGCGGGAACCTGCTGCTAGAGCAAGAGCGGCAGCGCAACTTCGAGAAGCAGCGTGAGGAGCGTGCTAGTGTTGAAAAGCTGCAGAGCCAGCTGCGCCAGGAGCAGCAGCGGTGGGAGCGGGAACATGCGCGACTGCAGGAGAGGGAGGACGAGGCACGCCAGCTCCGCCAGCAACTGGACCAGGAGCGCATGGAGCTGGAACAGCAGCGCCAAGCCTACCAGCACGACCTGGAGCGTCTACGCGAGGCCCAGCGCGCAGTGGACCGTGAACGTGAGCGCCTGGAGCTGCTGCGCAGGTTCAAGAAGCAGAACACCGTACCTGGGGCACTACCCCCAGAGGTGTTGGCAGAGGTGGGTGAGACTGTGTGGCCAAACTGCTAAATTGGAAATGTGACTTGGTTTAGTGCTTAACTAGCTTGCACAAAGTCCCTGGTTCCAACCCCAGCATTGCATTAAAAAAAAAAAAAAAAAATACTGCCTGGTGGTGGTACACACCTTTAATCCCAGGATCTTCTCTGAGTTCAAGGCCAGTCTGGTCTAAGTGAGTTCCAGCACAGCCACTTGATACACAAAGAAACCCTGTCTCAAAAAAAAAAAAAAAAAACTATAGTGGCACAGGCCTATCAGCCTAACATTCAGGGGGTGGAGGCAGAAGGATTAGATCATCCTTGGCTACATAACAAGTTCAAAGCCACTTAGGCTATGTGAGACCCTGGGGGATGTGGGAGCTGCTGTTAAAAGAAGCACATGCTTTTAACCCCAGCAATCAGGAGGCAGAGATGGATCTCTGGGGGTTCGAGGCCAACCTGGTCTACATAGAGTTCTAGGACAGCCAGGGCTACATAGACAGACCCTGTGAGTAATCCAGATCAGATTGTGTGGCCATATTTGTGCATGAGAGAGAGCACGCACGTCTATGGCCCAGTGTGACCATGGATATCCATATACTGGTGTGTTCCGCGAATTGTAAATCACCAGCAGCACTGTAGACTGAAGCAGTGCTCTGCAGAATGCAGAATACACCTTCCCAGCTGTGAACTGGACCCAGCTGGGTAGGCAACACCTATTTATCTCCGAGCACTTAGCAGTTGTGTTTGGTCCTCCCCAGTCCATAGCCACCAAAGGACTGGGAAGCCTTTTGTGGGGTTAACAATCACCAGCAGGCTCAGCAATGATAGGCTGTGTCTTCTATTACTTTCAGGCCCAACCCACAAGCCACCCTCCCAGTTTCAATGGGGATGGACTAGAGGGGCGCTTAGCCCTAGCCAAAGCACCAGGGACCCAAGGGAGCATGCTGCTGTCTGGCACAGGACCTGAGTACATAGAGCGACCTGAGGTGGCCCGCTGGAATAGTACCACTGCTGAGAGCCGGTCAGCCAAGAGTGATGTGCCCATCCAGCTGCTCAGTGCCACCAACCAGATTCAGAGGCAGACAGCTGTGCAGCAGCAGATCCCCACCAAGCTGGCTGCCTCCACCAAGGGTGGCAAAGATAAGAGCAGCAAGAGCAGGGGTTCCCAGCGTTTGGAAAGCTCAGGTGAGTTACACCCCACCCCCAAAGTTCACGGACCCCTGTAGAAGGTCCACTGTGGAGCTCAGATCGGGTTCCCTGTGCCCTCCAGAGAGGCAGCACGCCCCTCCCACTGGAGTTCTCCGTCTCAGCAGCGGAACTGAAATGACAGACCTCGGGCAGGGAGACAGCCAGCCAAGCACCAGCACGGGCAAGTAGCATGGCAAGAAAGCAGTGTCCGTGGTTCCACTTGCGTGTCTGTTGCTATGACAAAAACACCCTGACAAAAAGCCCCTTAGAGAAGTGATTTATTTTAGCTCACAGGTCCAGGTCAGGGGGGAGTCAAGGCGGCAAGAGCTTGAGACAGCCCAAGTAACATCCACAGTCAGGCACACAGAAAATGAAGGCGTGTTTGACTAGTGCCCAGCCATCTTTCTCAATTATCCAGACCAGGGCCTAAATCTAAGGAATGGTGGAGCCCACTTTCGGGCTGGGTTGTCCACACTGATTAAGGCAAACAAGACAGTCCCTCACAGATATGCCCACCAGTCAGCCTGATGTAGGCAATCCTTCACCAAGACCTTTGTCCCAAGTTGTGTTGTTGACAAAACTAATCATCATGCCCATTTACTTCCCATCTGGGGCAGAGGTCAGGCACTAGGGGCTGTACCCAGCATCTTTGTCCCTCCCCATAGAGACTCCCTATTCAGTTGACATAGGGAGTCATGACCTTTCCCATAAACAGAGTCCCTGTCCTAATGATCATGGGGAAAGGATGTTTGCTTGGGAGCCACACCCTCCTCCCATCCCAACACTGAGTGACTCTGTGCCACCTTTCAAGTGCTTATCTGGCTGCCCCAGAGGAAGTGAAAGGTAGGGGAGGCCCACTTGCCACCCAGATGACCAAGTCAAGCATCTTCCCTCTTCCAGCATCCTTCGACCTGAAGCAGCAGCTGCTTCTCAACAAGTTAATAAGCAAGGATGACAATTCGTCACGAAACCGCCGGTCACTGAGTCCCATCCTGACTACCCCCCATGGATCTGCACCTGCCCCAGGTGAGCCCGGCCACTGGACATTAGGGCCACCCACTAATTGTGGCGGCTTCTGACACCAGTATGCCCCCATCTCTCTTGCAGATCCCTGCTTCCCAGCCCCAAGCCCAGTCCCAAGCCCGGCCCCAGCAGCCACACCCCCTGAGGTCTTCAAGTCTGGAGGCATGCCTCTGCCACCTGCATCCCCAGCTTCCTCACTGCCAACCACACCACTCACCGCCAAAGATGAAGCTGGCAAGGAAGATGTCATCTTCTTCTGAGGGGGCCATGGCCCCAAGAGCAGACCCTTTTCTGTCCTGATAACCCTTTGTCTCTGGGGACCCCATGGGTGACTGTTACTGTCTGGCCATCCCCTTCCCCTGCCTGAGCACACACCAGGCACTTGCTCACCTGTTGGTGTCTTGGGTCTCACAGCTCTCTGTAGAATTAGTGGTAAAGCCTGGATAGCCTCTTAAACCTTTTTATATATGCATGTGCAAACAAAGTTCTTTTAAATTGAAGGTCGAACTCCAGCTAAACCACAGAGCTGTTCTAAACCAGAGGTAGGCAGCACAAAGGTGGGAAGGCCAGGAGAAAAGAACAGGTGGGTCTAAGACGACACTGGCTCCAGAGGCAGGTTCCACAACACCCAGAAATCTCTGGGTTGAGCTGTCATTAGGCACCAGAAGGCACTAGAATCACCCAGAGTCCAGTGAATCGCCCTTTCCAAAGCAGCAGTTGATGCTGGCCACAGAGAGACTTGATCAGTAAGTGAACTGGGCAATGGCAGAGGGCCACATGATTGGGGAGGTTTGGGCAGCCCATGGGTCTGTGGGTTCACAAATCAGTCTGAAGAGGGCTACCAACTGTCACTCCTTGTAGTAGTTGGGGGTTTTCCCAGTTCTACCTCTGGAGGAACACCTGGCATGTCCTCATTCCCACCCATCTGAGACACAGAACCCTGGGTTCAGCAGAGCAACACATACCCCAGACAGTGTTTGGTCCCTGTGAGATGAGCGGATTTCCCCTAATTTTCCAGTGTCCTGCCAGAGAGGCAGGAGCTGGTCAGCAGCTGGTCTGGTCTGGTCTTCTCCCCAGGGCTGGGCACCCATAGGATCAGGAGGTGACTGGGTGTGGTGACCCTGGTGGACAATAGGGTGCTGAAAGTGGTGGTGTCTAATGACTTCAGCGCTCCAGGAGTGGTGTGGGGCCCCCTTGTCCGTCTCTGTCTTGTATCCAGAGTGTGTCTCCATTTACCAGACCTCATCCGTGCCATGTTGCTAATCAGTGTTTTGTGGGTTTTTTTTTTTTTTTTGTGCGTGTTTTTTTGTACTGAGATATCAGAGCACTTTAGGAAAGCTGACCTTTAAGCTCCCACTCTCTGAAGAGAACATTCCAGGACCCCACCTGAGTTGCGTGGGCTCACCATCAGTTCATATGCCCTGATCCCACCCCAGACACTATGATGTTTTGGACTAGAAGTTCAGATGATTTCCCCTTGGCCCTGGGTAGGATTTGCACATCCCTGCCAGGTGGCCAGGTGTTATCTCACTGTGTTCTGCACACCGCAGGGGAGTGGATCAGTGTATCTGTCACCAGCAGCCGTGGGCTCCTCCTCAGTTGGTCTCATTTGTAAAGCTGGTGAGCCAGCAGCATTCCCAACTCTGAGACTGAGTGGCATCCCTTGTCAATTGTGACCATGATCTTCATCTACCCTGTGATTATTTCCACAGTGATAGCAGAGCATCCTAGCCACAGGGTATTCTGGGATCACCCTAGAACTTATGACCAGATTCTAGCAATAAAAGCATCCAAAGGACCTCAGGTTGAAGCAGACCTTCTTTGGGGTTGGGAGGGGGAGGAGGGAGCTGTCTCCTGCTGAGATTTTGGCGACAGAGAACATGAATGTCCAAAAGGGGGCGGATATTGCGGGAGTTGACATGTGGATGTGGTTCAGTTGATAGAGTGCTTACCTTGCATACATGAAGTCCTAAATTCTGTCTCCAGGTTGACATGGTATTGCACACTTGTAATCTCAGCACTCAGGGGGTGGATATAAAGGACCAGAAGTTTGGGGTGGGGCTGGGGAGATGGCCTAGTGGTCCAGACAAGTGTGAGGGCCTGACTCCGAGTCAAAAGTTTGATACAGAAGCATATCTCTGTAATCCCAACACTATCCTAGGCTAGAAAGCAGAAATGAGAAATCCCTGGAAATGTACTGGCAAGCTAGCCTAATGTACACAGCAGTGGGCAAGTGGCTGGAACCCGAGGTTATCCTCTGACCTCTCCACACATGTACTTTTCTGTTTGTTTAAGGGCTTGGAGCTGGAGAGATGGCTCAGTGTTTAAGAGCACTGATTGCTCTTCGGGCCTGGATTTGGTTCCCATGGTGGCTCCAAACCATTTGTAACTCCAGTTTTATGGTGATCCATGGGCATCAGGCATGCATTGGCACACATATACTGGGGCACATATACAAGAAGTCTTTTTTTGAAAACTAGAAGTTTAACTGGTTATGGATGGTGGAGCACACTTTTAATGCAATGCCAGCACTCAGTAGGTCAAAGCAGGAAGACCTCTGTGAGTATGAGGCCAGCCAAGGCTACATAGTAACCCCTGTCTCAAAAAAAAAGATAAAAATAAGTTTCAAGCATCCTCGACTACACAGTAAATTCAAGGTGACCTGGCTCAAATGAAACCTGTCTCAAGCACAGAATAAATAAGCAATGGTGGGAGCTGGAGCTCGGGGGTGCAGGACTTGGCTAGTACATGCGAGATTTTAGGTCCATCTCCATCCAGAACCACTGGACAGCCCAGGTGAGCCCTTTCTGGAAGTGTCTGTCCTTTTGCTCTATGTCTGCACCATATGTAGTTAATGTCAAGGGCCTTCCCACCCCAGGCTTGGGCCTCAGATCAAACTCTGTCCTCCTGGTACCCGGACTAGGTGAGGGCATGGGCTCACCTTCAGGTGGGGCACAGATAACAGGACACCAATATGATGTCCTTGAGAGCGGAGCAGCTGCGACCACCCCAGGGTCAGGAGCCTGATGCTGGCCTACAGGTGCTCCACAGGTGAGAGGCTGGGGTGCTTGGCTGGGTTCACTCTTGTGCCACACTATCCCAAGTGCTGCCAGCACACCAGTGGCTCACGAACACCTATCTGTAAAACCAAAATTTCTTGGACTTCTGGCCAACACCAAAAGGGTGGGGGCTGGGATCATTGTATCTCGACAGTAGAATATTTGGCTCATCATCCCTAGTACCAAAAATTGGGAGGGTCAGGGAAGCAACCTGGCCTATGTAGCAGGGCTGTCTGAAAACACACACACAAAAGATTAGTATCATGTAAAGTTCAAAGGCTGTGGTATCTAGTCTACCAGGCTGGGCCCAGTGCTTCCCAAACATCATTTTTGGCTTTCGGATTAAAAATCATACCCGGGATCAGATGAGATGGCCCCGTGGGTAAAGGTGCTTCCACCGAGCCGATCCCCAGGCCTCACATGGTGGAAACGGTGACACATACACTAAAATGTAATAAAAACTTAAACTGATTTAAAAAAAAAAAACCTACCTACTATAGTCTCTCTGATACAGAACACAAATCCACGTCTTCAGAGGCCAGCAAGCACGGCCTGTCCCCAGCTTAGAGCTCCGTGGCCCCTTGATATTGGCATGATTGTTCTCATTTAGGTGTGGCCTTCCTGGAAGCAGCAACCTACAGTTTTCCTCCCAGGACTGCAGGAAGTGGAGAACATTCTCCCAGGCCCGGCTCAGTGGCAGAGGTAGTCAGATACTGAGAGGCTGAGGGAGCCCCCAAGGGAGGAATAGAGACAGCCGTTTCCCACTTACTGCTCCATGCACCTGTATAACCAACCGTACCATGTGACTGCTCTAATCACCTCACGTACAGACTGGCCCCGTACCAAGTTATTTAATAGGCATTCCAGTGTTCCAGGTTCCCCAGTGCCCGACCCAAGGCATGGCATGTCTCCCACTCACCCTCAGGTAAGCCAGCAAGTGGGGGGTTCTAGCAGAGTACTCCTGGGACTTTGCAAGCCTGGCTTTGACTCTGAGAGTCCTGGGGTCCTCCTCATGTGCCCCCCCCCCCACTTCCCAAAGGAACAGATTTCCCATGATGCCCTAACTGGGACCTGGGATCTATCAGCCCTTTTCCTTCCCACACAGGGACAGTTACTGGGGTACACGATTATGGATGCACCCCTGGCCAGTGGTTCCCACTCTGGGAATCTGTGTCCTCTGTTGAGCCCCACCGTGTCCTCCACCTGCCACTCCAGGGCCTCATCAAGAGCTGTCTGCCTCAGCTATGTTGCTAGCTCTGGCAGCCTGATACATGCTGAGGAGGGAGGAGATAGTGCCCAGGAGGCCCACCAGCCAAGGAGGGAAGCGGCCAGCCCACAAGACACCTGGGGGCAGCCAGTGCACAGCGTTGGCCAGGTCAGCCAGGTTGCTGAGTAGAGTTAAAACCTCTGACCACATCTTTGCCTCCATGGCCCTCCGCTTGCTCCTGGGCAGCTCGCTGTGGGAGAGAAGGGGAAGGGAGTCACTCATTGCCCGCCCTTCCCCTAGCCCCCAGAAAGGAGCAAGCACAGAGTGACCCACAGGCTCAATTCCACACCTGCTTTCCAGGATCCCTGGGCATGGAGTGTAGGGGCTGTGGCCATTGTCCTCAACTTCATATCAACCCCCCTCCCCACCCTGCTGTGGGATGCAGCCATGAAGGCTCAGCCTGGAGTCCTCATTCTAGCAAGCCTGTTCCCCTACCTGGAAAAGACACTACTTCCACCCAGAGGCTAAAGCAATGCTCTTTCACCACACACCCTTAAATTGTTTGTGATCTATCCCCAGAGCCACACACATCAATACCACGTGCACATCCTTTTGTATTGTAGTGTTCTATTCCCTGAACACACACTTTTTTTTTGAGGGCTGTCTTGGAATTCTCTTTTGTAGATTAGCCTGACTTCAAACTTACTGAGGTCATCCTCATGACTGCCTCCCAAATGCTGGGATTGAAGGCAGGTACCGCCACCACCTGCTTACACATCCCCCTTTGTAGAGATCTATCCCCTGAAACACACACTTTTTGTAGTGATCTATGCCCTGAACCTAACAGCAATCAGGACTGTGGATGGCTGACTTCTGTGTATGGAGATGTGGGGTGGTCACTGGCTCCTCATCTGACATTCCAGTCACTTCCCTCCTGACCTGGTGCCCTGCTGTGTGTAGTCCTGCCCTGATTGCATGGAGGTGCTGTGCAGCTGTGAGGAAGCTGTCATCCATGCTAGGGTAAGACTTTCCAATGACACAGCTATCTGGGGGCCACACACACTCCTGCTCTGTTTGGTTCCACAAGCTGGAATTGGACTAAACCATACTTTAGTTTGTCACTGATGCCCCATGAAGCATGGCAGACATCTACATACAACTTTCCAGGGAAAGGGTTCCCACATTAGCCCTGCAAAGGTCAGCAGGGGCATGGCTCAGAGAGGTGGCCACTCTGTACACCTGCAGGAGAGGAGAGGTTAGGACGCGGTAGGATGTGGTACCTGGTGAAGGTGCCTGTGGGTTTCTGCAGCTTCTGTCTTAGCTTCAATGCCGTCCACAGAGACCTGCAACACAAGAGACCATGGACGCCCTGCCACAGCAGCCTGGCAAGCTGGGAGAGGAAGGGGTTAGCTCTCCACGGCAGCTGAGGCCTCAAGAGCCTCTACTGCTTTTAGCCTAGGGAACTTAGAGACCAGCCACCCTCCATATTTGGCCAGCAGTGGTCCTGCTTGCAGCCTCCTGCACAGAGCTGCAAACTAGCTGTGACTTGGAAGAGAGACTTGTCCCTTTTGGGGGTAAAGGCTGGGGTTCTGTCCTAGTTAGCTTTAATTGCCAAACTGAGTCAGCCTAGAGTCACCTGAAAGCCTTGACCGAGGATCAGATTAGCCTGTGAGCATATCTGGCAGTAGGGTCATGTTATTAACTAGGGAGCAGAGGAAGCCCTGAGTGAGAGGAGTCCTGACTAAATACATAGTGTAGACTCCTGCGAGGCCATATCAAAGACTCCAATGCCTTAGCCCCATGTGAGTGGCAAAGCTCTCCAAAGAGTGAGGTGGTGGTCATGGGGATGCTGGTGGGGATGGGATGGTTTTGTTTTTGAGACAGGCTCTCACTACATAACCCTGGCTTCCCTGAAACTCACTATATAGACCAAAGTCCCAGATTTTCTGTACATGTACCCAAGTCTCTGTCACTTCTTTAGGGTCACTGCCCCTCTTCATTCTCTTGACCTCCCTAGTCAGGGATCCAGATCCAAACTACGCAGGTCATGGTACCTATGAGTCAGCAAGCAGTGTTCCTCCATGGTTCTCTGTCTTAAGTTCCTGCTCTGACTTCCCTCTGTGATGGACTGTGACCTGAAGTGTGAGCCACATCAACCCTCTCCTCCCCGAGTTGCTCTCAGTCAGAGCGATTTTGTCACAGCAACAGAATGAAATTAGAAAAGGTTCTCACATAGCCCAAGTGGCCTTGGACTTGCTGTACAGCGTGACCTTGAACCCTGATCCTCTTACCTCCACCACCTGAATTCTGGGATGACAAACACATGCCACGGCATCTAGTCTATGCAATGTTGAGGATAGAAAGCAGGGTCTGTGCATGCTAGCAAGCATTTCACCAAATGAACCACACAGATCCCCCTAGAGTCGGCCATGCTGTGGACCTGCCCAGTGCTGGGAGACAGCCTACAGTGTGCATGGGAACAGAGACAGCAAGTTTGATGGGACCTCAGAGGTCAGCAGAGGTCAGCAAGAAACCATAGTCATGAAAGGATATCAGGATGTTGTCCAGGCATGTCAGGGGAGCACACATCCAAAGGCTGGGAAAGAATCTCCAGGGCCAAGCGTGCTGGTGGCACAGGCCTGTCATCCCAGCTTCTTGGGAGGTTGAAGCAGGAGGACCCAAATTCAAGACCTGCCTGGGATACTTAATGACATTCCGCCTCAAAATAAAAAGTAAAATGAAGCTGGGTGGTGGAACAAGCCTTTAATCCCAGCACTTGGGAGGCAGAGGCAGGTATCTCTGTGAGTTCAAGGTCAGCCTGGTCTACCTAGTGAGTTCCAGGACAGCCAGGGCTAAACAGAGAAACCCTGTCTCAGAAAACAACAACAACAAAAAAGTAAAAGGAGGAGCTGGCAAGATGGCTCAGCAGATAAAAGCCTTTGCAGCCAAGTCTGGTACCCTAAATTGGATCCCAGCATCCACATGGTGAAAGGAAATGACCACCCAAATTGTCCTCTGACCTCCATACATGCGCCACAGCACATGCGCACACACACACAAAAATAAGAAGTAAATAAATGTTAAAAGGAAAAGAAAAGGAGAGCTAGAGATATTACCCTTGGGAAAAAACTATCAGTGCTGAGGGGTACCTGGTGCTCACTGGGCAACCAAGTTAGTTAGTAAGGCCCAGGCCAGTAAGAGTAGAAAAAAATAAAATAAAAGGGTGGAGGATCAGCAAGATGGCTCAGCAAGGAAGAGGTGCTTGCCACCAAACCTAAGGCTCTGAGTTCAATCCCCAGGACCCAGGAAAGAACCTGTAAGCTGTCCTCTGAACTCCACATGTGCACTACACAAGCCCCTCCCCACACACAAATAATTAAAAGAAAATTTTAATTAAATAACTAAAAAATCAAAATAAAGGGAAATGACTAAGTAAAGACATCTGAGGTTGACTTCTGGTCTCCACACGCTCACACAAGCCCTCACACACATACAGGCATACAAGAAAAGCAAGGAAAAATTAAAAAAAAAAACAGGTAAATAAGTAGAAATTAAAAGAAAGTCAAGGAAGAGCAAGGGAGATGGCTCCGTGGTTAAGAGCACTTGTTTACAACTGCTAGGACTTTAGTTCGGATCCCAACACCCACACGGCAAGCTGGGCATGGTCCTGAACACTCCAGTAACCCCAGTGCTGAGAGGCAGGAGGGTTACTAAAGCTTGCTGGCTGCTAAACGAGCCAAAACACAAGCTCTGGGTTCAGGCCAACAAAAAAAGTAACAGAAGACATTCTATGTCCCTATCTGGCCTCTGTATAAATACACACCTGCCACATTCACATACAAACACAAATAATTAATAAACTCGTTTTCTATGGGACTGGAGAAGGGACTCGGTAGTCAGGAGCAAGCTCTTGTACTGCTCTTGCAGAGTGGATTCAGTTCCCAGCACTGGTGTTGCACAGCTCACAGCTGCAGGTAACTCCAGCCCCAGAGACCCCAACACCCTCTTCTGGCACAGGCTCTATGCTAATATGTATGACATCATGCACATAATTAAAAACAAAATCTCTTTAAAAGCTTTTGAAATAAGTACATCTTTTAAGAGAGAGAGAAGGGGAGGGGGCAGGGATCGGAATCAGAGGGAAGACTCTAAGACTCCACGGTGCTAGCTTTGAAGAAGGAAGGGGCCACTAGCAAAAGGTTGCGGACCCTCTAGACCCTGGAAAAGGGCAGAGGTGGAAAGGCGGTGGAGCCTCCAGGAAGGGAGCAGCCTTGCCCACCTGGACTTTACCCAGGAAACTGGTCTCAGGATTCTGACCTCCAGCACTGGGAGTAACACATCTGTGTTGTTTTAAACTGCACATTTATATCCAACTGTTACAGAAGTTACAGGGTCAAACAGCAAGGGGAGGGGCTGAAGACACCGCTCAGTAACTAAGACGCTGGCTGCTCTAGCAAAGGACCTGGGTTTGGTTCCCAGTACCCACACAGCAGCTCACAACTGCCTCTAACTACAATTCCAGAGGCTTGGCCATCCTTTTCTAACTTCTGTGGCCACTGCACACACAGGGTGCGCAGAAATATCTGCAGGCTAAAGACCCATACACATAAAAATTAAAAAAAAAAAAGCCGGGTGGTGATAGTACACACTTTTAATCCCAGCACTCTGGCTGACCTCTGTGAGTTCAAGGCCAGCATGGTCTATAGAGCTAGTTGCAGGATAGCCTAAGATATGCAGAGAAAAGATTAAGGAAACCCCAATATGTGAAGACTCGCTGCCTCCTTTGAACCTCCTGACAAAATATAAAAGGGCTGAACCCCTACAGCTCTGCTAAGGTAACAGCACTTGGGGACCTCGGGTGTTCCCTCTGGCAGACATCACCTACCTGACAGCTCCAAGGAGCAGAGAGAGAATCCAGAGGGCTGTGCTCAGTGTCCACCACCCAGCAGAGTCCACCTGGAGGACCTTGGCATCGGCAGCCCAGGCGACATGCTCACATGGATAGTACAGCTGGTCAGCCATGTTACTCAGAACAGACAACCATCGGACGAAGATGTCCTCCTTCTGTGAAACCAAGTGGTGGGACAGGCCTGCAAGTCACAACTCCCCACTGTCTGATTTAGGATGGGGCCATTCTGGGCCACAAGACTTCCCCATGACAACAGTCTGTGCCCTGGTGTCTGGGCAGGGCAGCCCAACAGCTGTGTAAGAGGAGAGCTAGGGGCCTGGCTTCCTCTGCTCATGCTCATTGCACAGCTCCCTGGGTCTCAGCTCAGGCTATGAAATTCCCTGGAGAGCTGTCAAAACCCCAAGTCCTACACCAGGCCTGAGCATTGCATCAGAAGGACTGGGATAGACACCAAAGGTTTACTGTTGCTGCTATTTCATTTTTATATATTTATATGGGGTGTGTTTGTGTGTGTGTGCGCACGCGCACATGCGCCTATATGTATAAACATCCGTGTGTATGCAGTACCCTCCGAGGCCAGAGAGCATAGGATCCTTTGAAGCTGGAGGTAGAGGCATTGATGAGCACCGTACATCATTGCTTAAGCAGCAAGCATTAACCACTGAGCCATCTGTCTGACCCCAGGAATTCTGTTTTAAAGACAGGGTGTCATATGTCCCAGATGGTCTCAAACTCATTATGTAGCTGAGGACGATCTTGAACTCTGTGGTGTGGTGTGGTGTGGTGTGGTGTGGTGTGGTGTGGTGTGTGTGTGTGTGTGTGTGTGTGTGTGTGTGTGTGTGATGCACATGAGTATAAGTGCCTTTGGAGGCCAGAAGAGAATATGGGATTCTCTAGAGATGTCGTGACAGTTGTGAGCTCTAATGTGGGGGCTGAGCATCAAACTCTGTTTTTAACTGCCAGTCCATTCCAACCCGTTTTTTGTTTTTGTTTTTTAATTCTTGGTGTGTGTGTGTGTGTGTGTACATTCTCGTATGTGAGTATGGGTACACGCTTGTCACAGCCCTTGTGTGGCAGCTGGAAGACAACCTCAGCATCATTTCGTGCCTTCTATTTTGATTGAGGCTGAGGCTCCTTCCATCCCCCCCCCCCCAGCTAGCTGTCCTTCACACTTCTAAGGAGACTCTAGTCTCCGCCTCCCACCTCCCTGAAGAAATGCTGGCATCACAGACTGGCACATTACCTCGTCCAGATTTATATGGGTTCTAGAGATTTGAACTCAGGCCCTCACAAGTACGTTAACCTGCTGAGCCATCTCCATAGCCTACACTGGTCTTCGAGACTGTGTCTCTCAGGGTCTGCAGCTCACTAAACAGACTAGGCTGATTGGCCAGTGAGTCTCAAAGATCCTCCTGTCTCTGCTTCCCGAACTCTGGAATTACAAGTTTGAGCCACCACACCCAACTTACCTTACAGGGTTTTGGGAATCACAGTCAGATTCTCAGGATTACACAACATTTCCCAAACTAACCATCTCCCCAGCTTAGATCTTAAACCTCAGATCCACTTGCCTCTGCCTCGCAAGTGCTAGGATTACTAATGGTGGCCCCCACCCCTGGTTCAGGGACTTTTAAAAAGTGTGTGTGTGTCTGTGTGTGTCTGCGTGTCTGTGGAAGATGTGAGTGTGGGCATGCATGAAGAGGTCAAAGGACAACTTTTAGGAGTGGGTTTTCTCTGTCCACCGTATGTTCCAGGGACCTAAGCTCAGGTGATCAAGTTTGTCTTGGAGCAGTTTTACCCACTGAGGTTGTGGGGGTGTGGTTCAGCAACAGAGCCCCTGCCTAGAATACCCCACTGGGGGCAGTGTACATGGCTTAGCAGTAAAGTGCTTATGTAACATGTACAAGGCCCTGGCTCCATGGCCAATATTGCTACAATAAATAAATAAATAAATAAATAAATAAATAAATAGAATCACCCAATAAGAAGTGCTTTGGAGCAAGCCCTTAAAACACCCACGGAGGCCCTTGCTCCTTTGGAAGGTCTAGTCCCCCTCCCTACAGCCCCATTAACCCTGTTACCTCTGTCCCCAGGCCATATTGCTTAGTGTAGACAAACATGGCTGGGTCATCAAAGAGTCGCAAGACAGTCCTGCAATGGCTGAGCTGAGCTGACACCACCAGCAAGCGCCTTCCCAGTTCAGACCTGCTGGGACATTGTTCCACTAGGACCCCACCGACGAGCTGGCAGCAATACCCCAGTGTCCGGATCTGTGGGAAACCAGAAGCAATTACCACAGTCCCCATTGTGGTTTGAGCTGCAATCTCCACCACATACCCAGTCCTGGGCCCTTTAGGATGAAACCTGGAAAGGGATCTAAGAGTTGGCAGGCATAGTGGCTAAGAGAAACTGAGGCAGGGGAATCACCCCCAAGCTTAAGGCCAGCGTAGGCTATTGAGTGAGACCCTGTCTCAAATAAGCAAAGTTCTAAGAGTCAACAAACTTCCAGGGCTGGAGAGATGGCTCAGAGGTTAAGAGCATTGCCTGCTCTTCCAAAGGTCCTGAGTTCAATTCCCAGCAACCACATGGTGGCTCACAACCATCTGTAATGAGGTCTGGTGCCCTCTTCTGGCCTTCAGACATACACACAGAGAGAATATTGTATACATAATAAATAAATAAATAAATAAATAAATAAATAAATAAATAAATAAATAAATACAAAAAAAAAAAAACAAACTTCCATTCCAAACTGAAAGGTTTTGTTTGTATCTTTTGTTTTTTTCTTTTAGTTGCCAAGGCTGGATCTCACTCTCACCTCACTCACCACATAGCCTAGCAAGTCACTGTCATCCCCCTGCCTCAGCATCCCCGGTGCTGTAATAACAGGCATGAAGCACTTTACCCAGTTAAAACTTTCAGTTTCTCTCTCTCTCTCTCTCTCTCTCTCTCTCTCTCTCTCTCTCTCTCTCTCTCATACATTTATTGTAGTAGTCAATTTTGAAGACAAGGTCTCACGTAGCCCAGGCTAACCAGACACTGTGGTCATGATTAGAATTCCTAACCATCCTGGCTTCTACCTCCCAAGTGCTGGAATGAGAGGTATGCAACATTTGGAAGTCACAGTGCTGGGGACAGGATCCAAGGCCTCCTGCATGCTAGACAAGCACTACCAGCATCCCAGGCTCTGAAGAGGTTCTTTTAGATGAGAGCTTGACACCAAAGTCCAAAAGGTGCCACGCAGCACATCTCTCATCCCAGCGCCAGGGGAGCTGAGGCAGGAAGACCAAAAAGGTCAAGGCCAGCCTGGGCTACGCGATTAATAAATTAGAGGCCAGCCTGAGCTACATAACAAGACCCTGTTTCAACAAAGAGAAGTGTGGAGGGAAGGGGAGGGGAGAAAAGAAAAGTTGCTGAGGAGAGTTCCGCAGGAGTGCTAGCTTGTGTCACCAATGACCCAAATGACAGGGACAAAGAAAACAAAACTATTTCTGTCTCCTGTGTTCTCCTTTGCCCACAGGCAGGGTCACGAGGCTGAAAGGGAACTTCTGTTTGCCCTTCCTGGCCTAGCCAAAGCCCTTAGCTGGACAGAAAGAGCGGTCTAAGAGACAAAATAGTAATTTGCTTCAAATACTTTAGAGAGAAGGCAGGCATTCAATAAAAGACTTAGATAAATGAGATTCACCAGGTTCACCACCCTTATATCTTTGTTTCTTTTGTTTTTGACACAGGGTGTTGCTGTGAGTGCTGAGGTCACAGGCTTGTGTCAACACATTGGTTTTTGTGGTGCTGAGGATGGACCTCAAGGCTTTATCTACGCCACGGAAGCACCGGGCTACAGACCCAGCTCTATTATCTCATTTGCTTGTTAGAAATTGCTGGTCTCGAACTGTATGTGGTGCACACCTGTAATCCCAGCAATTTGCGAGGCTGAGGTGGGAGGAACGCGGGTAAGACGCCAGCCTGGTTCACACAGTAAGTTCCAGTGAGGCCTTGTTCCTGTTGTTTTGATTATAAAACTCCTTTTTGGCCTGACTGTAATGGTGAACACTGTAATGTAGATGTCCAACTTAGGAGAAAATGGGTTGAACTTTAAATGTGAAGCCACCAGTAATATCTGCCTATAAGGAACTAGTCAGGAAAGCTACGTCTAACTTCAGAAGGCCAAGTGGATCAATGCTCACGTGGAGCGAATTTTACTTTTAGCAAAATATTGTAGATGCAGCACCAGCTTTGAAACATTCAAAATCGCCATGTGAGGTGTCTGCGGCAACTCAGACATATATAGCGGCTGGCAGGTACCAAATGTCCAAATGCAGGGATCTGATCCGTATGGCTGTAGCTAAATGACCAGCAACTGTGGATTTAATTCAGAGTCGTCATGGCTAGGTTCTGCAAGTCTGGCCGTATTTGGCTGAAATAATGCAAGTGCCCAACTGGAGGGGATTCTGTCATCGCCTAAATGTTCGGCTACAGGACAATGTCACGTGCTAACCCCCTTTTGAGGTTGTTCAGAATAATCCAAGAACACTGGTGTCCTGGTGAGATCTTGGTCATTATTTGATTCTGCAAGGCTGGGTTGGCAGGTTTGACCCCAAATGTCCAACACTAGATGACAGTGTTGGTGATCGATCGCAGATCCAGAGGGACAGGAACCTGAGGGCAAGGCACTAGCTGGGAAACCTCTGCCTTGAGGGAAAAACCACTGGATTATCTTCCTAAAGCTAACCCCCAAGGTCTAGTCCCTTATGTGGCCACTTCTCCTGAGACTGACTAACAAGGTCCTGCTGCCAAAGTACTGAAGTCCAGCAATCTAAAGCCCTCTTTGGCTACCCTAATTAACATGCTCAATCAAAATTAAATGTCTCATCCTAACGCAGGGTTTCCCCCTTTGGTTTCCCCCTTTACCCTTATAAACTGCAATTTGCCAATGGGTCACGTCTGTCTCCTCTCTATCCAGTCCTTTGTTTCCCCAGGACAAGTAACTTTCTCTGTTCCCTTCCCCTTCTCCCTTGTACTCTGCCCTGTCTTTGTCTCTTATTCCCTGCCCTTTGTCCTCCTGGGGCAAATCTTTGTGCTGAGAACTTGGTTGTGTGGTGTCTTGTACCGATACAGGTCCCTTTAGAAACCCCTCTATGGCCTCAGTTTCCCCATCTCTGAGTTCTGACCAGACTCCAGATCACTCCGGCGCAGGGCGGACCCAACCTCCTCTCACCAGGCGGTCCCGGCCCCTGTGGGACTCCAGCGAGGAAGCCAGACTGTTCAGCAGCGCCATGGCAACTCGATCGTGATGTCACCCTGGGCGGGGGCAAAACTCCTTCCGGAAGGGGTTGCAGGCTGGCGCAGGCGCAGCTGCGGCCCTTTGTCCCAGTACCGGCGCGGTGTAGGCGTGCTAACCTGAACCCTGGGTGCAAATGTATTGCTGCTACGTGTGTACTCCCTGCCCCTGGACACCCAGAATGATCTTCCAAGCCTGTTGCAATCCGCTCCACGGCTTCTTAGGCAACTCCCGCAAGCAAAGTGTTTCAAAATTGTCCACATTAGAAAAGAAAATCCAAGCAAATGCATGTGTCAGACCTACACAAAAGGGGTTTCTCCTTAAAAGTGGGCTGCACTTGTGGCCTGCTTTATCAGCATGTCTATAGTGAGCATGTGTGTGACCAGTGTACTCTCACAAGGCATCTTAATTTTTATTTTCTTTGAGGAGTGAACAGATTGTTTGGTTGTTCGGTTCTTGATTTTTCTTTTTTTTTTTGAACCTCATGTCGCTGAGACTATCCTCAAACACAAACTCACCACATACTCAGGCTGGCCTTAAATTCCTGACTCAGTCTCCCAAGTGTTGGAAGGACCGGCAGGTGGCACAAGGCTGCAAGGCCTTCTAGACGTTAGCGGGCTACAAGGTACCTTTAGAAGAAAATGAGCCAGGCATGGTGACCCGCGCCTTTAGTGCATCAGGAGGCAGAGGATCTCAGTGAGTTCTAGGCCAGCCAGATCTACATAAGGAACTCCAAGACAGCCAGGGGTACGTAGACCCTGTCTCAAAAAAAAAAAAAAAAAAAACCTAACTAACTAACAAAACCCAGAAAGAAAAGGCCTACATAGGGCCAGCAGGGTGGCCTACTGAGTAGAGACGCTAACAGGATGACGGGTATGTGCCACCAAGTCCTGTTTGTGCAGAACTGGGGATGAAATCAGGGTTTTGTGCTTGCCAAACACATGTCCCACCTATTGACTAAGCCACATTCACAGCCCCCAGAACAGTATTCCGCCTCCAAGACAGGGTTTCTCTGTGTAACAGTCCTGGCTGTCCTGGAACTCACTTTTTAGACCAGGCTGGCCTGGAACTCATTGAGATTCAATTGCCTCTGCCTCCCAAGTGCTGGGATTAAACGCATGTGCCACCACTGCCCAGCTAAGGGCTAAGTATTCTTTTAAAAAAAAAATTTACTTAACTTTATGTGCATTAGCATCAGATCTCCTGGAACTGGAATTAAAGACAGGTGAGAGCTGCCATATGGATGCTGGGAATTGAACCCCGGGTCCTCTAGAAGAGCAGCCAATGCTCTCAACCACTGGCCTATCTCTCCAGTCCCAAGAATAACAAATATTCTTAAAGTGACAAAGGAGAGTCTCTCAGGATAGCGAGCTATGGGTAGGTGGATAAAGGATACATAAAGGCTTGTTAGTAAAGTTTATTGAATGGGAGGTTGGGGGTGTAGCTCAGTTGGAAGACGGAAGACACAAAATGGAGCAAAGAAACAGTTTTACTTGAGTCTAGCATGGTGAAGTTGAGCTTATTGAGGTTTCTTACAGGAGCATGGGTTCCTCAAAGGCATCGCAAAGAAGTCACCCCAGCCTGTAGGATGATCATGAAAGCTGCATGCCTGGAGTTTCCTGCTCAACTGATAGGCAGCCTAGCTACCCAGAAAGTCTTTCCTCCCCAACAGTTGTTACTGTTTACACAGACATGCACAAGATCATGTGTGTCCTCAGAGGACAGCAGGGAGCGTTGTATCCCCTGGAGCTAGAGTTACTGATAGTTGTGAGCTGCCTGATAACTGAACTCTGGTCCTCTGTAGGAGGCGTATGTTCTTAACTCCTGGGCCATCTCTTCAGCCCTCATTTGTTTCTGTAACAATGGTTCTCAACCTTTCTAATGCTGCGTCCCTTTAATACAGTCCCTCACGTGGTGGCCCCCAACCATAAAACATTTTCGTTGCCACTTCACCACTGTTACTTTTTCTACTGAATTGTAATGTAGCTATATGATGGGTGACACTCATGTGGGTTGACACCCGCGTCAGTTTGAGAAGCACTGCTTCAGAAGGTGAAGTAGTGAAAGGAAGGTAGATCCTTGGGAATGTGCCTGGAAAGGGCTGTGGGCATCCAGGCCTGTTCCTGTTGGCCTCTGCTTCCTGGAATTCATGGAGACTCTGGCCATGGTGTGCTGATTCCCACAAGCCCAAATCAGTGAAGCCTCCACGATCATAACCTAAAATAACTCTTTCCCTCTAATTAGTTGGTTGCATCTTGTTACTGTAATAGAAAGACAATATAATGCCATGCGTATATGTCTCTTGTACTGCTCTTAGCTTTTTTTTTAGGTTTGTCAACATGATAACATGTATCAGAATTCCATCTCTTTTCTGGAAGTGAATAATATTCCAGCTGATAGACATACCATATGTTTATCTAGTCACCCATTGTTGGACTTTTGGGCTCCGTCTACCTTTTAACTCTTATGTATAACGATGTTAAGAGAACACGCACAGATATGCACTTATTCAGGTCCCTGGTTTCAATATCAGAGGTGAAATTCCTGACTCGTGTGATTATTTCTTCTCTCGTCTTCATTTTTGGCAGATAGGGTGGTTGTTGGTGGTAGTGATGGGTGTGTGTGTAAGTGTGTGTCTGTGTGTGTTGCTGGGGATAGAACCTAGGGCCTTGCACTTGGTAGGCAACACCCTATCATTGAGCTATACCCCAAGCCCTGTGTTTAACTTTCAAAAATCGGATTTACATTTTGTTTATTAACATACATGTGGGTGTGCACACACATGAGTGACAGGCAGAGGACAACTTTCGGGAGTCAGCTGGGTCTCGACTCAGGCCTTCCTCAGCTCCTCTCCACGCTGAGCCATCTCCCTGGCTCCAGGTTTCTGAGGGATTGCCTGTTTTCCAGGGTAGTTGTGCTCTCTTACGTCCCCACTCACAATGCGGCAGGACTGGAGCCCCGCCAGTGTCTTTGCAACATCATTTTTATTCTGATAATCAGCCTGGTGGATGGGAAGTGGTCTCCATCTTGCATTTTCCTACCAGGATAACCAACTCATTTTTGGAAGACATCTACTGTCCATTAACCTCTGTTACTCTCTCCCCTTCCCTCCGCTGCTCTTAACCCCATCTTTTTCCTCCTGTCCCTTCAAATGAAGCCTCTCTCTGCCCCTGGGCCTTTGCACAGCTGTTCCTTCTACCTGGAGTGCTTTCCCTCTAGATACCCACGTGGCTTCTGCCTTCACCTTCTGTCCATATTTTCTTATATCTCTTACTCACTTTCATGTTTGAAACAGTGTCTCATTCTATTAGCCTATACTCACCTTGCATACAAGATTCTTGGGCTTCTGCCTAAATGTCATCATCTTATGGGACCTTACTTATCACACCTTCTGAATATTCCTTGCACCTTTATTTGGGTTGAGCTCTAATGAGGGGGATACACATGTGTACACACACATGTAGAGCCTAGACAGCCATGTCTTCCACTTTATTTTTGAGATAAGGTCTCCTACTGGCCTGGAGCCAGTTGCACATAGAGTCCCAAGGATCCTTTTGTCTCTGTCTTCCTGGTGCTGGAATTGGAAGTATGCTACCATACCCTGCTTTTTAGCAACAAGCCCAGGGGATTGAACCTGGGTCCTTGCATAGCCAACCCTCTATCAACTGAGCCACTTCCCCAGCCCCTGAGACAGGTGTCCTGAACTTGCTAACAGCTGAGGTTTCCCTTGAGCGCCACAGAGTCTTGTCCCTCCTTCCTAAGAGCAGGGATGACAGGTGTGTACTACCATAACTGACTCTGGGATTTGTGTGTGTGTGTGTGTGTGTGTGTGTGTGTGTGTGTGGTTGTTTACTTGTTTGAGACAGGGTCTCACTCTGTAGCTCTGGATGGCCTGAAACTCACTATATGTTCCAGGGTGGCCTCACTTGCAGCTATCCTCCTGCCTCCACTTCGCAAATGCTGAGATTCCAGATGAGCACAGACATGTCTAGAAAGGTCCTTGAATATATGCTCTCCCTAATGGCTTGTGTCTGCACGATGCTTTTCTCTGAATGCCCTGCATGCTGCCAGGCTCTCTGCAGAACCACCACCATGCCCTCTGCCCCTCCAGCTGTTGCACCTGCCCCCACCCGCCACTGCCATTCCTCACCCTGAGATATAGCTTTGAACTTTGCAGGCCATGCTCTCCCAGCACCTACCATCTGGTGAAGAGTCGAGCTTGACTGACCTTTGAGAAGAATACTTATGCTGCCCTGGCCTTCCTAGCTGGCCTTGGAGTTGCCAGGCACGGTCTGGCAGTCACCACTGGTCTCCAGCCAATGTCCTCCTTCCCAACACAGAATACCCACATGAGACAAGGCCACTCTGTTGTCGCGTCTCTAAACACAGGCAGCGTGCACAGCTGAGCACAGACAGGAGGCGCCAGCCCTCCGTTCTTTTTGGGTTTATTTATCGTGTGTGTGAGTAGGTGGGCGTGCAGGTGCTGTGGCGTGCAGGTGGCTGTCTGAGAACATTCAGATGGTTCGCTCCTTCCACCACAGGAGTTCCAGGAATCTAACTCAGTCACCAGGCTTGGTGGCTAGCACCTTTATCTCTGAGCCATCTCTCCAACCCCAAACCTCTGTTCCTAGTTTATGAGAGTAACTAATGTCCTCTGCCAATCACAGCTTCGTCCCTGCTTCATTTCTTTGTGGTTCTTCCTTAAAACAATTCCAGAGACTCAAGAAACAGAGCTTCATTCATGCTAGGCAAGCACTGCTGATGAGCCACATCACACCCCGCTCGCCTACCCCCACCCTGGGCCCTGCATTTCCAGCAAGCGGGAGAAAGAGGAGGAAATGCTGTGTCTGGCTGGCTGGTTGGACCAAAGCCCTGGGTGGGTTGGAGGCTGGGAGAACTAGCCTCAACCCAAGGGACAAAAGCCACAATTGGCTGGAACTGCTTTTTTTTTTTTTTTTTTAGAAGAAAGCCATCCAAATTGCTTTGGTGTTCATTGTAACTTCAACATTGACCTTTTTAGCTCAGCAAGTAGCTCTGGCTAGCCTGAAACCCTCTTCAGAGACAAGGCTGTCTCAGACTCACAGAGAGCCACCTGCTTCT